GAGCACCACTTGAACACCATCATCGGCATTGACAAATTCGGCATTAGTCAATTGCAAAAGGCGGCCTTACTAGGAACTGCTTCCATCTTGCAACAATATCTGTAATACCATCAAACATCCACATCTGCCTATTCCAGGTCCTTGGTAAGGACTCGATAGGTAGACAAAATGCCAAATCCAGTCTCAACATCTGGCTGACTGTGCGATGATCAGTAGTAGTAGTAGTAGTAGTAGTAGTAGTAGTAGTAGTAGTAGTAGTAGTAGTAATAATAATAATAATAATAATAACAATAGTACAGAGAAGAGCAACAAAGATGATTAGGGGACTGGAGGCTAAAGCATATAAGGAACGGCTGCTGGAATTGGGTATGTCTAGTTTAATGAAGAGAAGGAGGAGGGGGGACATGATAGCAGTCTTCCAATATCTCAGGGGCTGCCCCAAAGAAGAGGGAGTCAAGCTATTTTCCAAGGTGCCTAAAGGCAGGACAAGAAGCAATGAGTGGAAACTAACCAAGGAGAGAAGCAACCTAGAACTAAGGAGAAACTTCCTGACAGTGAGAACAATTAACCAGTGGAACAATCTGCCTCCAAAAGTGGTGAATGTTCCAACACTGGAAGTTTTTAAGAAAAGACTGGACAGCCATTTGTCCGAAATGGTGTAGGGTTTCCTGCCTGAGTGGGGGGTTGGACTAGATGACCTCCAAGGTCCCTTCCAACTTTACTACTACTACTACTACTACTACTACTACTACTACTACTACTACTACTATTGAACACCATCAGCATTGGCAAAATCCCCATCGGTCAATTGCAAAAGGCAGCTTGAGTTGTGTGAGGAGCCTTTTAACACAACTGCATCTGCCTATCCCAGGTCCAGGGGAAGGACTTGATTGACAGATAAAACACATGCATCTGATTTTCAGAAATGCATCTGATTTTAAGACGTGCATCTGATTTTCAGAAATGTATCCAAGTTTCAGAAATGCATCTGATATTATGAAATGCACCCAATTTTAAGAAATATGTCTGATTTTATGAAATGCACCCGATTTTAATGCACCTGGTTTTAAAAAATACATCTGATTTTAAGAAATGCATCTGATTTTCAGAAATGCACCCGATTTTAAGAAATGCATCCGATTTTAAAAAGTTGCAACTTTTTTAAAGAAATTGCAGCTTTCTTTTCGGAACCGCATCAATGGCCCACATCAACTCAACCTCCTCTCCGCTTTGTTCTCCTGATAAACCCAAAAAATTATAGCTGGGTTTTTTTTCCAGCGCCGAGACAAAAGCCTTCCACCTGAGTGGTGAGCTGGCCGATTCTTGGAATCTGCAAAGCCCGTAATTAACCCTCTATCAGAAACAGGAAACAATCTTCTCCCAAAATCTGGGCCAGAAGCCTCTTGTCACCTGCCCTGCCTTGTCCCAGTGCCGTCGTCCGGGTTTTGCTTTCGGATCTAAAAAAAGATGAGTGACGCAGAGGTGCCGGCAGAAACTCGGAGAGCAATGAGGGATGATGGATGGATGGGAAGCTTGCATGCCCGCTGGCAAAAATTGCATTCCAAACTTGGAAAGTGGGGTGCTTTTTTTTAAATTTCGAAGTTTGGGCTCGCTCCCCAAGGAAGCAGCGGACGGAGTAGCGTCAGAGTGAATCAGATGGCGTTATTCATGCCCACGAGATTTTTGGGGTGCCTGGTTGCTATCAGCTTATCGGGGTGATCTCACGCTGAGATTGTGGAAAAATGCCACAGGGAGATGAGATAATCCTGAATATCTGAGCCAGTAAAATACAGGTGGTCCTTGCTTTACGACTGCCAGAATTTCCACTGTGAGCGAGGCAGGTGGCTAAGTGAGTAGTGTCCGATTTTGTGATATTTTTTTTTTTTTGTAATTTGAGGACTATTATTTTCCTGCCTTTTACCAACTTCCTGCCTCTATGTTGCTTTCCTGCCTCTTTTTCCTTTTAAAAAAATAAAAAATAAATAAAATAATAATAAAAAATAAAATAATAAAATAAAATAAATAATAAAATAAATAAATAAATAAAAATAATAAAACAAATAAAATAAAAATAAAATAAATAAAATAATAAAATAAAAAATAAAATAAATAAAATAATATAAAATAAAAATAAAAAAATCAAAAAATGAAATAAAATAAATAAAATAATAAAATGAAATAAGATAATAAATAAATTAAATAAATAAATTAATAAAATAATATAAAATAAAATAATAAAATAAAATAAAATAATAAAATAAAATAATAAAATCCACCTTTCACCTCCCAGCTAGGCTGACATCACTTCGGCGGCGCATTCCCGCCTGATGAAAAGGAAATGCTTTTCAAATTAGGCCTCGGCAATTAACCTGGAGAACTCCTCGCCACAGGATGTTAGCGCCGAGGCGAAGAACGCCGATTTGGGACGCGGGCCAAGCCAGGGACAGCTGTTCCCTCCCCAGGAATGATAACAAATGATTTCGGAGGCTGGAATGCCAGGGAACTCGCTTCCCAGATTGCAATCAATAGCTGCTTAGCATTCCTCGGCGTCATCCGCTCAGCAACCGGTTTTGCAGATTGCAATCAGCCTTAACTCATCGCAAACCTTTGGGATGGGTCACAGCTCCCTAGAGGATCTGGGCGCAGCCGATCGCCCCCAAATCTCAGGCTTCCGGTTGACGGTCAGATTTTTCCAAATCCAATGGGATGACATCCTTGCCTCAAAAAAATCTTACAACGGGCAGCCTCTCTGGACGTTATCCAGGAAGGGATTTGAGAGAGGTGGGGGTGGGGTCTCATTTCTTCAGGGGGTGGGGGTCCACTACAGGTAGGGCTCAGGTTTCAACCACAATGGACTCCAAAGTTCACATTGATAAGTGAGACATTTGTTAACTGAGTTTTGCCCCATTTTACAGCCTTTCTCGCCACCGTCGTTAAGTGGATCACTGCACTGTTAAGTTAGCAACAGGGTTGTTAAGCGAATCTGGCTTCTCCCCTTGACGTGTCAAGAGGAGATCACGTGACCCCAGGACTCTGCACTGTCATAAATACGAGTCAGTTGCCCAGTGTCTGAATTTTGATCACCTGACCACGGGGAAGGATGTGATGGTCGTAGGTGTGAAACACGGTCCTAAGTCATCTTTTTCAGTCCTGTTGTAATGTCGAACGGTCAGTAAATGAACTGTGAGGGGGAAAGAGGCCAACGACTCGTCCTCGCACCTACAACAGGGGCCGCGTTCCCCACAGCCATGGGATCAAACTTTGTACGCTCGGCAACCGATTCATATTTATGACGGTTGCAAGTGTCCCAGCATCACATGATCCCCCCTTTTGCCACTTTCTCAGATTCACTTAACAACTGCGTTACTCACTTAACAACGGGAGTTGATTCGCTTAACGATGGTCGGCAGAAAACGCCGCAAAACGGGGCAAAAGGAAAAGTCCTGGTTTCGAGCAAGCGAGGTCTGCTTAGAAAGAGATTAGAAGTCAACCAGGGGTGACAAAAACACACCCCAGTCGCACAGGTGGCTGCCAGTCGCGCCTCGCTCGGCTCGTAAAATGCAGCATCCGCATAAACCGCTGCAAATCCCTCGGATTAAAACGCCAAAAACTTCCCTGCCAGCCACCCAGAAAGAACGCGACACCTGTCCCATCAAGACTGAAAGGTGTGTGTTGTCTACTAAGGCGGGTCGATAGGCAAAATAAATCAATAAAAGCCACATTTTCAATTCCCATGCTGAGAAACGGACCGGCGGAGCCCTGAACCGAGTTATTTTTTTTCAAAAAAAGTAATTTAAAAAGGCCATCGATTTTAAATTCACCGCTCACATTTTTTACAGTCAGATGCATTCGAGATATTTAATGGGGTATCCAAATCCAGCTGAGCTCTAGAGGGCAGCAAAGGGGTGATGTGTTCAGCCTCTTTGCTGCCCCCTGGTGGGTGTTCCCAATACTTGCAGCCTAGATAGGACTGCTCTCTTTTAAGGTTAAAACAGGCTGCAAGTTTAGCCCGTTGGCTGTTTTGAAGAGCCCCCTCTTTTTAAAAGGGGAAATAGTCATAAAAAGAGAGTGAAAGGGAATTAATTCGTCTCGCGCCAGTAAATCGAGGACTATTTGCCTATAAATAAATGGGCTTGGTATCTTTAATATCTCTGGCCATTTTTTTTAGTGCATTTCTGCATTTTGGGGGTTTGTGCTTTGGAGCAATCTGACTTTTGAGAGAGAGAGAGGGAGGGAGGGAGGGAGGGAGGGAGGGAGGGAGGGAGGGAGGGAGAGAGAGATGATAAATAAGTGATAGATGATAGTTTGATAGAGAAATGGATGGACAGATAGACAGCTAGACATAGAAGACAGATAATACAGACAGACAGAGATAGATAGATAGACAGACAGACAGATAGATAGATGATAAATAAGGGATAGATAGATAGATAGATGATAAATAAGGGAGATAGATAGATAATTGATGATAAATAAGGGAGAGAGAGAGATGATAGACAGACAGACATGTGCATTGTATCCCAGTTAAAGATGGAATGAAGGAAGCCAAACATAAGTTTTAAATTAAGAGGCCTCTCCTTCTTGAACCGATTAACCAACAGCTGCTAAGGTGCAGCCTCTTACTAATCCTGGATTAACGAGAACAATCTCATGCTCGAGAATGTCTCAGAGCAGCTGTCAAGGGCGCGTCTTGGAGAATGACAGCGACAGGCCAACCCTCCAGATCCTGACCAAAATATGCCACCCCTCCCCCAAAAGGGCAAAGACCCTTTGGCCTTCCCCAGCCTGGGCCTTGACTATCCCCTCCTGGAGAGCAGGGGGACACCCTCTCTGCCCTGCCTGGTGCCATCGGAGGGCCTGGCAAAAGCCCAGGGGGCCATTTGGCAATCATGCCACGTGGGATGGGGGGGGATTAGTCAGAGGAACACCCCAAAGAGGGCAGGGGGGGGTAGGTGGAAAAAAGAGGGAGAGGAGGGATTTGTCTTTAAAAGGAAGCCTGTCCTGGTCTCGTGACCCAGGGGCCGGGCGTAACTTTGGATGGGAGTTACAGTCTCTCTCTCAAATAGACCAGCTTGATAAACAGAGGCGAGTTGGACAGGCAGGCAGGCCAGGACAGGAAAGCTGCCAGAGCCCAGCCAGACAAGCCATCATGCACGGTAAGGAATGCAAGGGGGGCTGGCACACACAATGGTGGCGTTGTGGGTGGGCAGGGGGGGTCCTTTAAGAAGTTTCAAGTTTGCAAAAAGCAGCCCAGCATTGGCAGATGGCCCCCTTCCACTTGAAGAGACCTTGGTCCGCTTGTGCATCAATCGATCGATCGATCGACTTATTGATCCATTCACACAACCGGACACGTTCAGAAGAACAAAGTGGAAAGGGAGACTTGGGGGAAAGAGGAAGAGGGGGCTTCAGGGGGGGGCTGTGGCCTAAAGCAACTCTGAAGAAGGCAGGCTGCGTGTCGTCCAAGCTCTGGCACAGATTCCCATAACACCCAAGATCCGGGTTAGGCAGTTGGGCACCGAGATGGGGGAGGGAAATGCCAGTTTTTTCTCGACGGGCAGAGAATGAGATTTTCCTCTTTGGATTTGGAGATGGTTTGGGAGGGGAAGTATGCCGCGCCTCGGTTTGACCTTGGTTGGGGGGGGGTCTTGTGAACCTGCCTTGTTCTTCGCAAGATAGGGGGAAATTGTGGCACCCCTTCCTCCTTCCCCAGCCGGCCCGGAGCCCTCGATCCGATTCCTCCCAACTTCGGAGGTGGTTGAAATATGACAGGTCAAGTTGAAACTTGTCAAAAGTTTTGTTAACATCCAGTCTGGAGTTTAAAAGGAGAGAAAGGGAGGGGGGGGAGGAAAAAAATCAGAGTTTTTGACTGCTTTGGGCAAATTTTCTGCAACCTGGCGCCCTCCAAAAATCAGGCAAAGAAGATTTGGAGCCAAATTTATCAATAATCCGAAATCAGTTTCCAGTAAAGGATTGCAGGGAGTCCTCGGTTTACGACACTCTGTTTAGTGACCGTTTGACGTTGCTTAGTGGCCGTGTGATTTGCCGATCCAGCACAATGGATCGTTTTATGATTGGGCAAAAAAGGTCATTTATTTGGACGGGACTCGCTTTAAAAAAAACACGCCTTGCTTAGCAGCGGAAATCCTGGTCGCTAAGTCGAGGACCCGCCCTCATCGAGTCATTTAAGCAACAGCTTTCTTGAAAATGGCCGGGGAGGGGAGGGGAGGCACTCCCCCAGGGCTTTCCCTAGCAAACGGCGCTCCGAGGTAGACTTCTCCTGGATAGGGAGGCTCCACCGGGTTACTCAGCCTCGGCCTCCCGATAAACTTCTGCCACGTAAACCTGCTCTCCTCGCCTTCCTGCGGCACTGTCACTTTCAGAGTTGTGGTGGGGCTACTCCCGAGGCAAGGATGATGGTCACTGTAGTCTTTAAGAGCAGTAAAACCCACGTTGGGACCTCGCAGCAAAGCCAAAGAGAGCTGGGCCCTTCCCCACCTTGTGGCCATGAGTTCCACAGGCACGATTAAGCTCTACCGAAAGGGTTTCCTGTTGACAGGAACCAGGGAAAACATGAGGAATTCCTGTTGCTAATTCAAATTATTACATGGGACAAATCTCTCTCTCTCTCTAGGTATATATATATATATATATATATATATATATATATATATATATATAGTTCATCTGTATCATCTATCTATCTATCTATCTATCTATCTATCTACTTGCCTGCCTCTCTGTCTCTCTATCTCTATCTCTCTAGCTCAATCTCCATCCATCTATCCATCCTGTCTATCATCTCTCTCTGTCTCTCTGTCTGTCTCTCTCTATCCATCCATCCATCCCAGGTGTCCCTAGAGGCTTAAGACTAATTTGAACTTGGGGCCGCCATTCAGCCACAGGGCGTGTCTTTTCACCCCACCCCTCCCCTGATTTATGAATGGGTTTGGTCTCTTGCTATTTTTTCCCCCTTTATAATTCATCCATTGCACTCCGCTCACTTTGAAAACAGAGAGCAAAAATCTCCTTAAAAACGAGCTGAAAATCAACTTTGCAAAAAAAAAAAAAAAAGAGATGGCGAAAATAAATAAATAAAAAACAACGACAAACCCTAACCCTCACCACCACCCCCCACAGGGATATTAAAAACAAACAAAGGAGCAGTAAAACAATCACAACCTGAAAATTAAAAGGGGGGGGAAGAATTAAAAAATGGGGAGACGCCCCGATTGCTCAAGCCGCCTGTCTCGAATTGGGAAATGCTAAAACTGGAGCTGGGAGGAACCGGAAACTGTTTATTTTACAGAAATAGCTGGAATTCATACAGGTGGTCCTCGAATTACAACCGTAACCGAGCCCCAGATTTCCGTCGATAAGTGAGGCAGTTCTTAAGTGAGCTTTGCCCACATTTTACGACCTTTCTTTCCACCGTTCTTAAGCGAACGGCTGCAGTCGTTAAATTAGTAACACGGTTGTTACAGGCTTCCCCAGCTGACTTTGCTTGCCTGTACTCATCATAAATGTGAGTCAGTTGCAAAACTTCTGGATTTTGATCCCGGGGATGACATAACGGTCGTACGTACGTCACTTTTTTCAGTGCCGTTGTAACTTGGAACGGTCACTAAATGAATTGTTGTAAGTTGGGGACTTACCTGTATTTTACTGCCTGGGCTCCAAGTGGAATCCAAAAGTGGATCCAAAAAGTGGAATATTTTTTCTTTCTTTAAAGAGAGCTCAGATCTCCCTAGAGAACTGTTCTGATTTAAATCTCTCCCTTTTTTTGTTTCTGAGCTCCTTGCTGTGAAGTTTGAGCTGTGGGAAAATAATTGGGGATTTTTGGAAACAACGACCAGTTGGAAAGGAGTCAAAATAAACAGGCCAAATTGGAAAAGAAACACCAAACTTTCTAAAAGTCCATGGCAGGAAACAATGTTTTTTTTTTTCTCTCTGTCGGGAACAAAAACGTTGATTTTCCAAGAGTTGCTTTAATGGCTCGCTTACCCCAAACTCTCCATGGCAACGGAAGAAAAACAGGTCCCTCTGTGCGGAAGAAGAAAAAAAAAAAGGGGGGGGGGGAGAAAATAGGTTTTTTTCTGTACAACTAAACAACAAAGGATCAATTTCATTATTCAAAGGATCATTTTAAATATCTTGATCAGTAGCAGGGATGATTCTACAAAGCTCAGGTCTCTGTGCAGCTAGTCCTCCACTTACAACATTTAGTGGCCATTCCAAATTAAATCCCTGAAAAAAAAGTCATTAAGGGTTGGTCCTCGCACTTATGACCGTCGTAGTCATGTGATCACCATCTGCAACCGTCCCAGCCAGCTAAATCAATTTTCTCAAAGTTGAGCACTTTAAGAGACTGGGGAATTCTGGGAGTTGAAGTCCATCCCTCTTAAAGCAGGCTGGCTGGGGGATTCTGGGAATCAAAATTGAAGAAACTGATGTACCCATTTCACAGAAAGGGAAAACCGAGGCAGCTCCACCCTGGGAAATCCCTAGGGACCCGAACGCCCATTTCTTTTATTGCAGGCCCTAACTGGAAATAGGCCGTCTGGGAAGAAGCTAGAGAAACTAGCTTGACTGGAGTTAGGCAAAGCAGTTGGCAACTCCCTTATCGCAAGCGGGGTGTGTGTGTGTATGTGTGTGTGTGTGTCCACCTCCCATGTTATCCGGTTCCTCCTCCTTCCTTCGGGGATGAATTCTTGAGAGGAGCCCAACCCCCCCCACTTTCTCAGGCTCTGAATTTGCACCCCCAAATCCCCATCGGACAATTGCAAAAAGGGGAGCCTGGCTTTGCACAATGGACTGCCTTGGTGCGGTTCACACCATCGCAACCAGCACAATTGCCCAGCCCGGGTCCTTGAGAAGGATCCAACAAGCAGACAAAAAAGGCTAAATCCAATCTAAACATCTGGCTGACTGTGCAAAGAACGATAACAACAACAACAAAATAGTCCTCAATTTACGTCAATTCTTTTAGTGACTGTTCAAAGTTACGACAACACCTTAAAAAGGGACTTAGGACCATTTTTCTTACTTACAACCACTGCAGCATCCCCCCCACGTGATCAAAATTCGGACACTTGGCAACTGACTCATATTTACGACGGTTGCAGCGTCCCAGCAGTCACATCATCCTCTTTCGTGATCCTCTGACAATGGGGAAGCCACTTAACAACCCTGTTGCTAATTTAACAACTGCAGTGGTTCACTTAAGAACAGTGGTGAGAAAGGCCGTAAAACGGGGCAAATCTCGCTTGACCAGCGTCTTGCTTAGCCACGGAAATTTTGGGGGGCCCTATTGTAGGCGTAAGTGGAGGACTTGCCTGTAACAGACCGCGTGGTCATGTTGAGCCAACACGATGTTGGCTTGAAAAAGCAAACATTCCAAGGTAAGGTTTCTTTTTGTGCTAGATTCCTTTTCAATCTTAAAAAGATTTGCTGGCAAAAAAAAATAATAATCAAAAAACCAGAAGCACGCCAAGCTTTAGTCAGTTTTTGCAAAAAAAAAAAAACCATGCAACCTCCGCGGAAAGCCACAACACGCCGAATGACGAATAACACAAAAACTCCAGACAGACCAGAATTGCAAGCGTGACTCGAATCCACATCAAATAGGCAAGAAACTGTGGTTTTGTTTTTTTGTTTTGTTTGTTTTTTACAGGCAGAGATTTAATTTTCCATTTAAATTCGACAACCTTGAGGAAGGTCTTAACTGATTCATTTCACAAAGCGGAAAGGGTACCAATGGGTGATCAAACCTATTTTTATTTTATTTTATTTTCAGGAGCCAAAGGCAGCATGACGGTGACAGGAGACTCTTCGGAGCTCGAGTGGGCTATCCAGACCCTGGTGAAAAATTACGAGAAATATTCCGGCAAAGGATGTTGTTGCCGCAGACGGCGAGGGATCAGCAAATCCGACTTCAGGAAGATGCTTAGCCACGAACTGAACCACATGCTGACGGTGAACAAGGCGGCTCCTGAACTCGGGTCCCGTCCGAATTTGAGCTCAAATGGAGGGGGATTTCAGATGGGATTTCAGGATTTTGTGATCATAACCCGCAAGATTAAAGTCGTCACACCTCTGTCAGTGTTTCTCAACTTTTAAGAGGGGTGGACTTCAACTCCCATAATTCCCCGGCCAGCAAAGCTATAAGCAAAGCAGGCTGGGGACTTCTGGGAGTTGAACTCCATCCATCTTAAAGAAAACACTGCCCTATATCAAATTAGCATGCTTGGGATCCTTCCTGGTTCTGACCTGGTCTACCTCGAAGGGCTGGTGGACTGAGCGCCAAGGAAAAAGAAATGCGAAAGTATGATGCTCTCCCTGTTTCTAGAGACTCCGACTCCCATTAGGGAGACAGTTATCCATTCAGGATGATGGGGACCCCAGGCCAGACAGAGAGAAGGCTAAGAAGAAACTTCCCAACAGTGAACAGGGGGTTGGACTAGATGACCTCTGAGGTTCCTTCCAACTCTCTATTCTATTCCATTCCATTCCATTCCATTCCTAGTATTCTATTGTATAGTATTAAATATATTCCACTCCATATTCTATTCTAGTCTGTTCTGTTGTTCTGTTCTATTCTATTTCTAATATTCTATTGTATAGTATTAAATATATTCTATTCTATTCTATTCTATTCTAGTCTAGTCTAGTCTAGTCTAGTCTAGTCTAGTCTAGTCTAGTCTAGTCTAGTCTTTCTCACTCTAAATTAAAGACATATATCCCTCCCCACCGCGCCTCTGAACTGGATGGAAATCAGTTTTCCTCATCCGCCTGATCCACTTTCCTCTACTTTCTACCCTCCAGGACACCAAGAACAGGCAGGCGGCCGATAAACTGATCTGCGACCTGGATGAGAATCAGGACGGGGAGATCAACTTCGACGAATATTGGAACTTGATCGGGGGCATCGCCAGCCCCATCTCCTGCCTGATCCGACAGCAGGAAGAGAATGAGAAATTCAAAAAATAAAGACCACCGGGGAATCAAAGGGAAATAATCCACTGTAATGACCTCAAAAGCCTCTTGACCCCATTGCTGACCCCTAGTTCCCTGCATTTTGGTCCTGCTAACCTTAAGAATGTGGGGCAGGGGAAATCTGGGGCAGGGGAGGGGGGATCCTCAGAAATTAAGGGAGTTGTCAAACTGTGAATAACATTGGAATAAAGGTTGGCGCCTCAAAACCCAGGACCGTCTCTCGTTTCTTTGTAAAATCTTTCCCCTCAAACAAGCTTCCGGTCCTCCTTGAGGCCAGAACAAAACCAACGGCCTCTCTGCAACAAAATACAGGTCGTCCTCGGCTTACAACACTCCCCTGCTTCTACGTTAAGCAGAGGGTTTTATTTATTTATTTTTAGTAAAAATAGATTAAAATTTTTTTTTACCTCACGGCCCCTGCCCACATCTTGTGGCAGGGAGTTCCGGAAGCCAACGAATGCACCTTCCTTCTGTTCTGCTTCAAATCTCCACAGTTTGAGTTTCATCCTAAGGAAAAATAGGGGCAGAATTTACAAAAGTCGTTTTCTTTACAGGGCGCACCGGGAATCAGGAAATCTGATTTAAGTCCGTCAGGTGTCTAAAATAACCTCAAAAAGAAAGGGGAAAAAACTCTGCCTCTAGTGAGATCAGAGTTTTTCAACCAGGGCAGCTTTAAAAAACCTGACAAACCATACTCAACAAGTTGTCCTTAATGGTGCTACGCCAATAATAATAACAATAATAATAGTAGTAGTAGTAGTAGTAATAGGCTCCTTGGGTGCAATCCCAAAACAACTGGATTGAACACCATTGGCATTGACAAATTCGCTATTAGTCAATTGCAAAAGGCGGCCTTACTAGGAACTGTTTCCATCCTGTGACGATATCTGTAATACCATCAAACATCCACATCTGCCTATCCCAGGTCCTGGGTAAGGACTCGATAGGTAGACAAAATGCCAAATCCAGTCTGAACATCTGGCTGACTGTGCGATGATCCATAATAATAATAATGTTGGAAGGGACCTCGGAGGTCATCTAGTCCAACCCCCTCGAATCCCACAGTCTTGAGATTCTCCTTAAGGAAAAACAGGGGCAGAATTTAACAAAGTCCCGTTTTTTTCTTTACCCGGTGCACAAAAATCAGGGAATCTAATTTCAAGTCCAGCTAAAACTATCCGTCAAGTCTCTAAATAACATAAAAATAAATAAATAAATAAATAAATAAAAATAACATGGCTCTGTCTATATCAGTTTAAGGACGGGTGGACTTCAACTCCCAGAATTCCCCAGCCAGCTTTTTTTTTTCACGCTAAAAAGTTTTTGCAAAAAATGAGTGGGAGGAAGCAGAAGCCAAATTCTGCATTCTGACCAGCAGAGGGCGACAAAGGGCTTTGGAGACACCAGTGGACCCACCCTTGCCCTGCAGTGACCCATGCCGGCCACCAGGGGACAGCACACAGCACAATATTACGGGAAAGATACACAGTGATTTCACACACACACACATACACACACACATAAACAGAGCTTTTTTGGGCAACTGGGAAAAGCTGGGAAAAGAATGGGCACCCTTTCAGGGCTCTTGACGGTTATTCAACAGGGAGAGAGGGAGGGGATGTTATGCCCTCTGCGTATGCTCAGGAGCTAGGCATGTGGGGGAAATGTCTTCTTTTTTCAGCGAAATGGTAGCTTCAAACGGCCATTAAACGGATAGTCGTAAGTCGAGGACTACCAGCAATGAGATTTAAAGCCAGCCTGGTCCAATCCTCCGAATGGGAATTTTATCCCGTTGTCGGTCACGAACAAACAGCAGCATCTTTCCTGGCTCAAAGCTGAACTTCGAACAACTCCACCACGCCTGTTGGATGACTCATCTCGTTAACATCCAGCATAGTCATCTCGGCTCCAGATTTTTTCGGGGAAACGTACGGTATGTGTGTGTGTGTGTGTGTGTGTGTGTGTGTGTGTGTGCCACTGGTCGAGTGGCGCAACTGAAGAGCCCAGCTGTAAAAAAGGACCAATTTAGGCATTTGTGCAAATATCCATTCCCCCTCTGCTCTCTTCTCTTTCTGCAGCTCTGGGTTTAAAAGGCAGTTTTTGTCTTTTAAAGTGCTGGTTTGAACTAGTGGTGAAGCCACCAGGTTAGTAAGTGGGAGACTGGGAGTTATAGTCCCGCCTTAGCCATGAAAGCCTGCTTGGTGCTTCTCTGCCAATCAATCACCAGGAGACTGGGAGTTATAGTCACGCCTTAGCCAGGAAGGTTGACTGAGTGAATTTGGCCCAATCACCAGGAGATGGTGGAGAATTCTAGTCCCGCCTTAGGCAGGAAAGTTAGCTGTTTGACTTTGGGCCAATCCCCAGGAGACGGGAAGTTCTAGTTCCGCCTTAGACATGAAAGCCCGCTTGGCGTCTTTCCACCAATCCCCGGGAGAAGGGAATTCTAGCTCCGCCTCAGTCATAAAAGCCGGCTGGGTGCCAGCTCACCTCACAGGCTTGTTGTTACAGGGAAAACTAGGAAGAAGAAGGCACATTGGATACGTCTGAGTGATTTGTGAAAATAATAACGGAAAGAAATAAAGGGAATATTGATCGCCCACCTTCCCTATTCTGCCAGGCACAACATGGCACCGCCGGGGGTGTGTGTGTCAAAGAGCACCCCAAACGGAAAGGGAGAAGACCCATGGAGCTTCCACTCCCAGGAGCAGTCTACCTCCCAATCCCAGTAGCTAGGAAGACGATCCTTCTGGGCTGGCTGGGATCCGGGGGTGAGGGTGGGGCACACAGAACTGGATTTCCGCGCTCTGCCGAGACGGTGCCAGGGAACAATGCGGGCATCAATGCGCGCTCAGCCTTCGGGAGCGGCTGAGAGGGTTCAGGACGTGGCCCATGGCGAGGGAGGACAAAGCGGGCCACGCCTGGCTACACACACACAACACGCACCACGCAGCAGCACAATCAGAAAAGGCATTCTGCAAGCCGCGGACCAACGGATGGGCCCGGCTGCAGGCAGCCATCCAAAAACTTCCATCAGCAGTCTCCCTTCAAAAGAGGATTGTTCGAATCCAGCCGGGGCTGCAAAATGCTTCCCCCCCCCCCTCAAAAAAAAAAAAAAAGAACGCTGATCTGCGGAATTGAAGCTTCAAAAATGGGGGGGGGGAATGGACGATGAGCACACCAGGGCAGGCAGGCGGAAGTTCAACCGGTGAAGCCTCCTCTCCTTCTCCGAATACCCAGGTTTCCACCCAAGCCGGCTGAGAATTTTAAGTTTAATTGTGCTCCTTTATTGATCCATTCATTAAATTAATTTTATCTCTGTATCAGAGAGATGGAGAGGGAGGGATAGAAACTATCCATTTAATAAATAGGTGAATAAATAAAATGAGCAAACTTAATTCCTCCCCTCCCCGGTCAAAAGTGGTAGCTGATGGACAGGAATCGCTGCCACGGTGTGGGAAGAGAGGCCCGGATTGATTGATCTATTGATTTTGGTTTTCAAAATTGATTTGTTGAGTTTATATGCTGCTCTGCTCGTTGTTTATAGAGGCCGGAAAATAGAGAGATAGAAACAGGGTAAATCATCAAAACCAATTAGAGTGACCAAAGATAAAAGACAGAGTTTTTTGTTTAAAAAAAAAATCCCATGGATCCTAATCCTATTCTGACTGTAAGCAGAACCTCCCTCGACCAGCACACTCTATCTGCAAAACCTTAAAAAAAAAAAAAAAGATCCAAGCATCCCAAACTAGGAAAACGAGTCATCTCAAAAGAGTTTTAAGGAAGCGTGTTCTTGCCTGGGCAGGAAAAATAAATACAGAGAGAGAGAGAGAGAGAGAGAGAGAGAGAGAGAGAGAGAGAGAGAGAGAGAGAGATGATCTGGCTGGATGCAAAAGAGATCCTCCAGAGTAAGAGGCAGTCTCCATGCGAAAGGCAAGCTTGGGGTGTGGGTGCCCCAAGGGGAAGGAAGGTCCAATTTCCAGCTCCTGGGAGGCTGAGATTACAAATCAGGCTAGGCATCCTGAAGATTTCCTGATTATATAACCGAGGAGCCGGTGGAACAGGTTGCCACTTGAAGTGGGAAAGTCTCCTTTTCTGGAGGTTTTCCAGCAGACGTGAGATGATTGTGTGTCAGATGTTTAACTTTAAGTGTGAGGTTAAGTTTAAGGCCTAAGGCTTAAGGTACGAGGTTTAGTTTAATTATTAGCTTTAAGTTGTCAGATGTTTAAATGTGAGTTTAAGTTTAAGTTAAGTTTGAGTTTAAGTTTAAGTTTGAATTTAAGTTAAATTTGAGTTTGAGTTAAGTTTGAGTTTGAGTTTAAATTAAGTTTGAGTTTAAGTTAAGTTTGAGTTTAGGTTTGAGTTAAGTTTGAGTTTGAGCTAAGTTTGAGTTTAAGGTCTGAGGTTTACTTTAGTCTACAGTTTAGGTTTAAATTTAGGTTTAGCCCAGCTTAGCTTAGTTTAGTTTCATTTAGTTATTATTTATTTGTTAAGTTTATTTACCACCCATCTCGCCATGGAGCTACTCCGGGAAGCTTGCAACAGTACAAGGGAAAAAATGATTTTAAAATGTAATCCTAACAATAGCAAAGCCGTGAATCAGTAAAAACAAAGCATGGAAGAACATTAATAGGAATGAAAAGAATTAGCCTCTGAATTAGTTTAATGGCAAGACCTCGGCTTACGACCACCAGAATTTCCGATGCTAAGCGAGGTGTCTGTTAATAACAGAGGGTTGTTTACCACCTGTATGGTTTATAGTTTATAATTTATAGTTTAGTGGCGGTTTCCAAGACTATGACCAGTGGGACCAGGATTTCCGCTGCTGATCCAGGTGTTGGTTAACCGAACCTGGTTGGATTTGGCAGCCTTTTCCATTTCCCAGTTGTCAACTTCCAAGGCCTGGGTGGGGCTTCATGGCCATACCTGTCCGACAGGTTCCGACAGGTGGGCTGGAGGCTGTGGCTCCTGTTGGTCTGGACTTGCAAGAGGCAGAGGTGGTATTTAGAAGATCTGCCACAATCAGAGGCTGCGGGAATTGTGCAAAGAAAGCCAGAGGAACTAGAAGGAGTAGTCGAGGCGATTAAAAGAAATAACCCCGAAGCAGAATAAAGCAAAATAGAACTGGGGAGGGGGGGCTGGAGAGGGGGAGACATGGGAGACCCAAAATCCTGCCCTTCTGTCTGTTCTGATAGCAATTGAACACCAGGAATAAATAAGCTTCTTCTTCTTCTTCTTTCTCTCCTTTCTTCATTCTCTTCCTCTTCTTCCATCCATCCTTTTATTTTCTCCTTCTCCTTCATCCTCGCCTACTCCATCTTTTTCTCCTTCCTTCCTTCCATCCATCTCCTTCTCTTCATTCTCCTCCATCCATTATCCCTTCCTTCTCCCTTCCTTTCCTCCTCCATCATCCATTTCCTTCCTTCCTACCTTCCTCCCCTTCCTTCTCCTTTCCTTTCCTCCTCCTCAATCATCCATTTCTTTCCTCCCTTCCTTCCTTCCTTTCCTCCATCATCCATTTCTTTCCTTCCTCCCTTTTCTTCTTCTCCTTCCTTCCTTCTTTCCTTCCCCCCCCCCTCTCCTTCCTCCATTACAAATGGGCTCATTTTCTGCCAGCTGCTGGAGATCTACTGGGCTCACTTTCTCCAGTCCCCGAGGTCTCCTGCCAAACTGGTTTGAGAAATGGTAGGAAATCTGGGTGAGGCTCGAACGCAGAACCGGCTGGGAGGGAAGAGCAACCGGAAAGGTGAAAAGGAGGATTAGAAGGCGTCCTGAGACGCAGAAGAAAAAGCCGGCGCAATCCGTATCTTTATAGCTGCTTTCCCACCCCTCCTTCTTCTCCTCTTTATCTCAGCTCGGTAAGTGACTTTCTCTCCTCCTTCTCTTCTTTGCCAATTATTCCTTCCCTAAATTTGTTTGCAAAAAGGAAGCGCAGGGGGCTAGCCTGGACCCCAAGATGCTTTCCAAAGTTATTTGAAACCCGGGTTCCTTTCACCCACTCAGGTCCCCAAAGCCCTCGGACTTTAAAAGAAGTTCAGAAGGGGGTCCCTGCAGAAAACTGGATCCTTGCTATTATTCACGGCTACGATGCTTGAAAATCAAAATACAACTCATGCCGAATAAACGTGTGTTGTTTTTCAGTTGAGTCTCACTCTGCTTCTCCTTTTCCCAAGAGGAAAAATCCTTTAGAAAAACCCTTTTCTCAATTCATGGCCCAAGAAAACGGCCTCTAAAATCTGCTTTTTTTTTTCTCCTAATTTTTGTTCACCTTCCATAATTCATTGAATGTAGGCATCTTTCTCTGTAGTGCGGATTTTTAACACAGAGGTCTTTTCTTAAAAAAAAAAAAAAAAAATCAAATTGTGAACTCTGTAGATAGTTCCTGACAGTTATGGCCAGAATTTTCGTTATTAAGCAAGGCAGTCGTTCAGCGAGTTGCGTGTCCAATTTTACGACCATTTTTCCCATGGTTGTTAAGTGAATCACCGCAGCTGCGAAGTAAATTGTGCGTTTTGTCAAGCGAACCTGGCTTCTCCCATCGACTTTGCCCGTCGGAAGAGGAGTGTGACCGTTTGGAAGCCCGCTTGGCATGAAGACGCGAAAGGATGGCAAATTTGGTGCTACGGAGGAGATCGGTTAAGGCACAACGTCCTTCTGGGGGGGGGGGCTTCTGCCAGCCGTAAAAAGGGTCCTTGAATCTTCCAACTCTTCTGCTTTTCTCCCCCAGAATCCAAGATGGAGACGCCGCTTGAAGAAGCCTTAGGCGTGATGGTCGAAACCTTTTACAAATATTCCGCAAAGGAAGGCGACAAATACAAACTCAACAAAAAAGAGATGAAGGAGCTGCTTCTGGAGGAAATGCCCAATTTTGTCAAGGTGAAGAAGGTGCTTGAAATGCCCTTCCTTCCTTCCTGCCCCCTCTAATCCATCCATCCTTCCTTCCTTCCTTCCTTCCTTCCTTTCCTTCCTTCCTTCCTTCCCCTTCTAATCCATCCTTCCTCCTTTCCTCCCTCCCTCCCTCCCTGAGCAGGGGGTTGGACTAGAAGACCTCCGAGGTCCCTCCCAACTCATGTTATTCTGTTCCTCTATTATTCTGGTGTCCAGGATCAGAGACCAACATCCTCCAGAGAGGCTCAGATTTTTTTGGGGGGGGAGGAAAAATGATCCTGGGCTTTATTTCAACATTGCTTCTTTCCTTCTCGCAGGGGAAGATCAACGAACGGGGTTTTGAATTTCTGATGGAGAAACTGGACAACAACGAAGACGAAGAATTAGACTTCCAGGAGTACGCTGTGTTTTTGGCCCTGACGGCCTCGCTCTGCTACGCATTCTTCCAGGAATGTGCGGACGAGAACAATCGGAAGCAATGAAGTTGGCGCTTGGGGTGGGGTGGGAATTTGGGGGGGCTATGTCTCTTGTGACGATCCATAGGAGGTCTCTCCCTGCTGGCAAATAAAGATATTTTTTTTTTTGAACACACAACCCTTGTTTGTCATAACCGATCTTTGGTTCGCCGTTTGGACATGAATCTCTGCCACGCCGCTTTGCAAAATGTAGCGACGATGGATAGAATCGGGCCTTTAAAAAAAACAAAAAACAAGCAAAGAATGCCGGTTAAAAAAACGGTATTTACGACCGGTCCTCACACAACCGTCGCAGTGATCAAAATTGGGGCGCCTGGCAAAAGCAGCACGCATTTACAACGGTTGCAACGTCCCAGGGGATCACGTGATCCCCACTGGCGACCTCCCCAGTCGGCTTCTAGCAAGCCAAGTCAAGGAGGGAAGCCGGATTTGCTTAATGACTGGGTGATTCGCTTAACGACCGCATGTATTTACGACGGTTACAGCATCCCGGGGGGGGTCACGTGATCCCCATTGGCGACCTTCCCAGCCGACTTCTGACAGGCCAAGTCAATTGGGGAGGGGAGGGGAAGGAGCCGGCTTCGTTTAACAGCGTGATTCCGATTGTGGTCGTACGCCGAGGCCTTGCCAGCCCAACGTTTTCAGAGTGTGAGATAAACACCGGGCGCCTTCAAGACAAGGGTGTGTCGAAAATGATAGGCAGACACAATCATTGTGCATATTTGCCAAACCTGCTTGTACACTCAGCAAAACAGGTGGCCTCACTGGAGGAACTGCCAAACACCGCCGGTTGAAATTCTGCCTGCTTTCGTTCCAGCTTTCCTGATGAATTCACTGCGGTGAACATCCTCCAAAGCCGGTGAGCTCATCTGATTCGTGTATATAAATTTATATATGTTTTCCAAAAGGATTGGGCAAGGAGAAATTATAGCTATTGATGGATGCCTTCTGTACCAGTTTTTATTTTTAGTTTTCCAGAGAGGAAGGCAAAAAGAACCCAGAATAAACAAGGGCACTTTTAAAACCGGAAACCAACCAAGAAAAAAAATATCGGTGTTGTGTAGCTTTCTGGAAATCGCAGCCCAGCAATCTGTACAACAAGGATTTCTATTTATCTTTTCAATGGCCAAAAGCTTGGGTTCTCTTTTGGAATTGGGTGGGTGCGCTCAAACCGGGAACGAAATCTGCAAAATAAAACAAAATTTAAACGTGGTTCGTGGTGAGCCATTCTGGTCCAGAATGCAAAGGATCTTTAAAAAAAATAAATAAATCTGTGTTGTTGATTCAACAGCCTCCTCTTTCCACGAAAGTTAGCTCTTAAAAATTTGCAGAAAAAAAGCATTCTGATTTTTATCTCAAAGGATTAAGGGCTAATTGGCAGGAATTAAAAACGAATCTCACAATGCCTTAAAGGTGAACGCTGCGTTCTTAAAAGTGAGGTTTTTCCCAGGGTTGGGTGTATTATGCTGGTTTTCTGATCGGTTTGAACTTGTTTAATGTGAGGGCTATTCCTGGGAAGAAGTGGCGATATAAAAACGTAGTAAATAAATAAACCCACAGGAGATGTTTATGAAGTTCCTGGCAAAGCCAAGGTACTGCCTGTTCTTACTTATTTCCTAAAGCAATACCACAAGGAACCCAAAAATTGTGTTCACCAAGGCCAAGTCACAGCAGAAAGTTAAACAAATCTAAGACAACAGCAGGTTAGGTAGTCCTCACTTTATGACCCTGGGATCAGAATTTCTGTGGCTAAGCAGGTTGGTTAACTTATGATTGGCTTATCAGATGTTTAGCTTATCAAGTAAGATGTATGGTTTAATTTATAGTTTTTAAGTTTTCAGGTTTTTAGGTTTCTAAGTTTTTAAGTAGGTTTCTAAGTTTAAAGTTTTTAAAAGAAGTTTTTTAAGTTTTAAGTTGAGTTTATAGTTCGCGGTTTAGTTTTTAGTTTGCAGTTTATTAGTTTATAATTTATAGTTTGCAGTTTTTAGTTTGTACTTTGCAGTTTTATAGTTTGCAATTTATAATTTATAGTTTGCAATTTCTAGTTTATAATTTATAGTTTATAGGTTAGAGTTCATCGTTTAGTGACAGTCCTCGACTTATGACAATTGAGGCCGAATTTTTCTTGCAGGTGGCTATTAACTGAGTCACCTTTGATTTTAAGACCCTTTTCCCCCACGGTCGTTAACCAAATGACTGCGGTTGTTAAACGAATCCAGCTTCCCCCCTGACTTCTCCTCCCCCCCCCCAGCTGGGAAGATTGCAAACAACAATCACACGACGCCGAGACGTCGCGACCGTCATAAATACACACCGGAGGCCATACGCCCAAATTTTGTTCACGTGATGGTGGGGGGATTCTGCAGTACGTGCCAGAACTGGCTGTAAGTCACCATTTTCAGCACTATCGTAACCTCGGACGGCCACTGAAGAAATGGTCGTAAGTAGAGGACTGTGTTCTCGTCCGTGCAGGACCGTGTGTTGCAGCGATGACCCAGTTCCAGACTCTGGAGCAGGCCCTGGGGGAAGTTGTGTGCACGTTTCAACGCTACTGCCGGAAAGAAGGAGACCGCAACACGCTTAGCAAAGCCGAGCTTCAGAACCTCCTGCAGACCGAAATGCCCAGCTTGCAAACGGTAAATCTCCCATCCAGAGGGAGTAAATGGATTTAATGCATTAATAAATTCCCAATCTCCTTTCGGCTGCAGTGCCGGGAGAAACGGAGGCCGCTTGGTGCTTCAAATATTCCCAACTATTGGGGAGGTTTGTAAGAAGAGGCTGTGGACTGTCACTTGTCTGAAATGGTCTAGGCCGTCTCCTGCCTGAGCAGAGGGCTAGACTAGAAGACCTCCAAGGTCCCTTCTGGTTCTGTTCCAATTGATTGAAATGGTGTAAAGTCTCCTGCTTAAGGAGTGGAATAGATTATAAAATAGAACCTAGAACAGAATAGAATAAAATAGAATACAGAATACGGCATAGAATAGAATAGAATAGAATAGAATAGAATAGAATAGAATAGAATAGAATAGAATAGAATAGAACAGAATAGAATAGAATTATAAAATAGAATACAGAATATAGAATAGAATATAGAAATGGAATCAAATAGATTATAAAATAGATTATAAAATAGAATATAGAGTAGAGTAGAGTAGAGTAGAATAGAATAGAATAGAATAGAATAGAATATAGAATAGTTGGAAGGGACCTTACAGATCATCTAGTCCAACCCCCTGCTCAGGCAGGATGGATAGCAAAAAGGGGTCGCTTCTGCCCCCATCGTCCCATAGTATTGCCATCTCTAATTTTTTTTTTTTTGACTTAAATTAATTCCCAGCTGGAAATCAAAGGCCCGGCTTTGGAAGAGCTGCTCACCCTGCTGGACACTGATCAAGACGGCCAGGTCACCTTTGAGGAGTACATCCGTTTCGTGGCGGCCGCCTTCACTTTCTTCCATCTGCACTTCCGGGATGCTCCCGTGGTCCAACCACGGATCTAAGCGGCAGGGGGGGCGGGACGATTACGGATGGCATCCCTACAAAGAGGTCGGCGTTACCGGACAGATTTTTTTTCAGGCTGTCCTGGCTCCAGGTGGAGAACGGGGGAACAGCTGGAAGTCCTAGCAAAGGGGAAAAAAAGATCTCATTAAAAAAATGAATTGTCGCTTTTGTTTTGTTCGTTTCTATCCTGCCTTTATATTATTTTTTACAAACGAGGTGATGAATGTTCCTAAAACTCTTCCCTCCTCCCGTTTTCCCCACGACAACAACCCGGTGAGGTGGGCTAAGAGGGAGGGAGGGACTGGCCCAGAGTCACCCAGCCGGCTTTCATGGCCCAGGTAAGATTAGAACTCGCTGCCTCCCACTTTTTAGCCTGGTGACTTCACCACTAGAGCGTCATATATCTGGATTTTTGTCCTCTGCAGGTGGAACAGGAGGCGGAGATCAAAGAAGTTTTCCGTTTTTCTCCGCTGCATTGGTGATAATGGTCTTCTCCAATTTTATATTTTTTATTCATTTTTCTATACATTTATTAGATTTTTATCCGCCCCCAAGCCAAAGGGTTTTGGCCTGCTCTCTCCCTCTTCCTCTTTGTCTCCTTCTCTCTATTCTTTTTCTTTCATTCTCTCTCTCATTCTTTCTCATTCTCTTTCTCACTCTCTCTTCCTCCCTTCCTCTTTCTCTTCTCTCATTTTTCTATCATTCTTTCTCATTCTCTCACACTGTCTCTCGTTCATTCTTTCTCATTCTCATTCTTCCTCCCTTCCTCTTTCATTTTCTTTTTCATTCTCACACATTCTGTCTCATTCATTCTTTCTCATTCTCTCTTCCTCTCTTCTCTTTTTCTGTCATTCTTTCTCATTCTCACATTGTCTCTCGTTCATTCTTTCTCATTCTCTCATTCTTCCTCCCTTCCTTTCATTCTTTCTCTCATTCTTTTTCATTCTCTCACACATTCTCTCATTCATTCTTTCTCATTCTTACTCTTCTCATTTTTTTGTCATTCTCATTCTCTCATTCTTTCTCATTCTCTCATTCTTCCTCCTTTCCTCTCATTCATTCTTTCTCTCATTCTTTTTCATTCTCTCACACATTCTGTCTCTCATTCTCTCTCCCTCCCTTCCTTTCTCATTCTCTCTCTCTCATTCACTCTCTTCTCTCATTCTCTCTTTCCTGCTGCTTTTGTAGTTTCCGAGCCATTTGGCTGCCACAGCATTTTTGGTGCCAAACCACTGGAAAAAAAAACAGGGAGAGGAATTTAGGGCTTAAGAGAAGGGGAAACAGCCCTTCCAGGATGACAAATCCCACCTCAACTCCGATTGGCCTCTCGGAGTGCTGGGGGAGGACCTCTGGGTGCCCCAAATAAAAGCCCAGATTAGCCAAGGTTACAAATAATGGTCGGATGGCCAGGGGTTCTTCATTCTGCCCGCTCAAGTCCAGCCTCAGTTTCCAGTCTGGTAAGTTGGGTTTTTTTTTTCTGTGCCAGGGAAAGAGATCCCAGATTTGGCCAAGCAAAGGATCTGCCCCAAAGGATCCCCCTTTAAGGAGGAGATTTAGAGGCAGCTTTGGCTTTACTTCCAGATGGAATCCGTAAGGATGGAAAGCTCAACAGGTGGAAAGGAAAGGAAAAGAAAGGAAAGGAAAGGAGAGAGAAAGGAAAGACAAAAGAAAAAAAGAGGAGAGGAGAGAGAAAGGCAATGGCAGAAAGGGAAGGATGGAGAGAAAAGAAAAAAGGGAAAGAGAAGAAAAGGAAGGGAAGAGGATAGAGGGACGGAGAGAGGGAGAAGGAAGGAAGGAAGGAAGGAAGGAAGGAAGGAAGGGATTCACAAATAATTCTTCCCTTTCTATACACTGTATATAAATCCTGCTGCCAAAATTGGTGTCACTGTTGCCCTCTCAGCCTGCTCTTCCAAACGGCAGCTGGGTCCTAACTGACATGTTGTTTACCTATTATTTGATTGATTAGTGGGGTCCCCCCCCCCAAAGAAAACCAGGAATGGTGCTAGGCAAGCATGAGACCAGCCTCTGTGCACGTGCAAAGGGCTTTCCTGACATCAGGGACTAGCAGGCAACAAACCTCCAAACGCTGGATATTCCATAACTAAAGTTGGGGGGGAGGAGGATTTGAACCCCAAAGCACCTCCAAATTTATCCCCCGTGCTGCGTCCACCTTAGCTTTTTCACCGCGGCTTTCTACGCACCGCGTTTGTTTAGTTTTTTCGACACTTAAAGGGCCGTTTTCTCTTCCTTTGCCCCGGATGCCATCCCAAAGGTGCCAGGCTGGCATCGGAATGACTCATTGTTTCCTCTCTTCTACTATGAGACTCACCCCACCTTCCCCCCCCCCCGAGCGGTGGCTGGCTTGGCTGACCCAGAGCAAGGGGGAAAGAAAGGAGAAGGAGCTTAGGGGGTGGGCAAAAGGAGCGTTTTTCCCCTCTGGAAAAATCAGGTTTTTTGTCCCAGCCACAAAAACCACAGGCACACAATCCTGTAGATACTTTCCTTTCCTTCCTTCCAACCGTCTTCCTTCCTTGCCTTCCCTCCATCCCTACTTCTTCCTTCCCTTCCCTCCATCCCTCCTTCTTCCTTCCTTCCTTCTCCTTCCTTTTCTTCCCTTCATCCCTCTTCCTTTTCTCTTTTCTCTTCCCTCCTTCTCTATCCATTCTTCTTCCTTATCTTTGTTCCTTCTGTATCCCTTCCTTCTCTGTCTTCTTTCCTTCCTCTTGTACCTCTTCCTTCTCTGTCCTTCCCTTCCCTTCCCGGTGGCAGGCCAAATTTCCTTTAAGGTTTTAATTTTAAAAAGCCTGCCCAAGTTGGCGTTCCTCTGAATTTTCCATTTGAATCAGGGCGTGGCTGTCCGCCCTTCCCACAAGTAGACTCCTTTCACTTGCCAGGGCAACATTCTCCGACTTTGGGCACTGGAAGATGGGTGGACTTTCACTCCCAGAGTTCCATTCTGGCTGAGGAATCCTGGGAGTTGAAGTCCATCCATGTTAAAGCAGGCTGGCTGGGGAATTCTGGGAGTTGAAGTCCACCCGCCTTAAAGCAGGCTAGCTGAGGAATCCTGGGAGTTGAAGTCCACTCCTACTGGCTAGGGCAGGGGTAGGCAACTCGTGGACTTCAACTCCCAGAATTCCTGAGCCGGCATAGCTCAGCTTGGAAACCTCTCCCTTTCCCCTCAGCATGGCTGGCTCAGGAATTCTGGGAGTTGAAGTCCACCAGTCATAAAAGAGCCCAGGTTGCCTACCCCTGGGCTAGGGCATTCTGGGAGTTGAAGTCCACCTGTTTACTGAGGTTGAGGAAGCTTCATTGATGCAAGATGCTTAATCCCACCGCTTCCGTCTGATTCCCCAGCTCCATCCTCTTCCAACAGCACCCCAAGATGGCCACCCCCCTGGAGAAAGCCCTGGACACCATGGTGGTCACCTTCCACAAATATTCCCAGAAGGAAGGAGACCAGTTCAAACTCAACAACACGGAACTGAAGGAGCTCCTGAAACAGGAGCTGCCCGGATTCATCAGCGTAAGTGCCTCCCTCCGCGAATAAGCGACGGGGAGTCCTCATCTTACGACCATAAACCTCTCTCGCTCAGGCAGTTGCCCAGTGTCCGAATTTTGTAACTTTGAACGGTCTCTAAACAAATGGTTGTAAATCAGGAATTATTATTATTACTATCATTATATTATTATTACTATCATTATTATTATTATGGTTCTTTGCAGTCAGCCAAATATTTAGATTGGATTTGGCCTTTTTTAATCCACTTATTGAGTCCTTCCCAAGGACCTAATGCTGCAACGGTCATGAAGTATGAAAAGGGCTCGACGTCCCTTTATTCCCCCTTTGTGTAACTCTGAACGGTCACTAAGCAAACGGCCGTAATCCGAGGACCGCCTGCGTGTAGTTTAGTTACCTTACAAAGTTGAACTCAACCCAAAGAGGAGCCGGGGTGAAATTTTCCGCCCGATATCCTCCCTTCTCCCTTAAGTTTAAAAGCTCTGGGGTTTTTTATGTGTGTTTTTTTTATTTTGTCTTGTTTCTCCCCCAGAAGAAAAAAGACGAATCGACGTTTCAAAAAATTATGAGCAACTTGGATTCCAACAAGGACAACCAGGTGGATTTCCAGGAATACGCCACCTTCCTCGCCTGCATCGCCATGGCGTGCAATGATTTTTTCCATGCATTCCCGGACAAAATGCCCCGGCAGAAATGAAGGGCGTGCAAAATCGAGAGTGGGCCAAGCGTGCAAACAAAGCGGGCAGAGTGCACAGGTGTGTGTAAGGTCTCATCGGCTTCCCCCCCCTCCTGCCCCCCCTAGCGTTCGGTTGGTGCCGCAGCTTCTGAATCGGGGGTGAGGAGAATTGCAGTTGCCTCTCTCTCTCACACACACACCCGACAACAAAATAAAAGTCTGCTTTAAAAAAAAAAAGTTTGCTTGTCTCCTGATGGGCTGGGGACGATGGGAATCGGAGTCTGGGGCGGTGGGGAGGAGGTCGGCTTTAGAAAATGGTCCAGGATGTTGATCGAGTGGGGTCGATTTTAAAACTGCCAGTAATAGGAGGGAAGGAGGGAGGGAGGGAGGGAGGGAGGGAAGGAATAGAGAGGGGGAAGGAGGGAAGGAAGGAAGGAAAGAAGCAAGAAGGAAGGAAAGAAGAAGAAGGAAGGGAAGGAGGGAGGGGGGAAGGAAAGAAGCAAGGCAGGAAGGGAAGGGAAGAAAAGAAGGAAAGCAGTTAGGAATGGAGAGAGGGAAGGAAGGAAAGAAGCAAGAAGGGAAGGAGGGAGTGAAAGAAAGAAGGAAGGCAGGGAGGAAGGAATAGAGAGAGGGAAGGAAGGAAAGAAGGGATGGAGGGAAGGAAGGAATAGAACGAGGGAAGGAAGGAGAGAAAAGGGAATAGAGAGAAGGACGGAGGGAGGGGAGGAAGGAAGGAATAGAGGGGAGGAAGGAAAGAGCAAGGGAATGGAGGAAGGAAGGAGTAAAAAGAAAGGGGAAAGGGTTAAAAAGGAAGGGAGGAAAGAGAAGGCAGGCAAATGGAAGGAGAAAGGAAAAGGGAAGGTTCAGAGCAAAGAAACTGACTGGTCAACTCTGCAAAAAAACAAGAACTTCACTTTCTGCAAAGTCAAGGCAGCCTGGAGCATCTTCTCCCTCCTTCTTGGTCCCTGGCTTCCTCCGTTGCTAGGCAACCGCTCCCCTCCTGCATCCTCTTGGTCCTGCCCTGCGGGATCAAAGCTTTTTCCGGGCTGCTAAGTGCTGAGAATGGCTCTTCCCCCCCCCCCTTCTCTCTCTATTTATTTATTTATTTATAAATGCCAGCCTCTTGACTAAGATCAAATTCTATATTTTGACTTTCCTTTCCCCCCCCCCCCCGCCAAAAGCCTCTTTTGGCTTTACAAAATAAACAAAAAGAAAGAAAACAGGACTTGCTACATTTTTCCCAGCTATGAAACCGATGTAATCTTGGAAAGTTTCTTCTTTTTTTTTTTGCTTTTTAAAATTATAACTTTGTATCTTTCTTTCTATTTTGTTTCCTACTTCCTTCTACTTCTTCCTTAGTTCTTTGCTTATTTCTTCCCGTCCCTTTCTGTTCTGTTTTACTTTATATTAGTTGTTATTGTTGTTCTTAACGCCGCTGTTCAGAATTATACATAAAAAACCCATTATATCTTTATATCCTTCTTTTTCTTTTTCTTTATTTTCTTTCTTTTTTCTCTCTTTTTCTTTCTCTTTCTTTCTTCCTTTCTTTTCTTGTTCCATTTTCATTTCTATCATTATTGCTCTTAAAATTCCCAATAACAATTGTACATTTTTTAAAAAAAATATTCCTTATACCTTTTTTCTACCTCCTGTTCTGCTTATCTTTCTCTGCCCTGCTTTAGTTCGTATTCATTCTCCTTATTGCTCTTAGAACTTTCAATCTGAATTATACGTATAAATCCTATCTTTATGTCTTTCCTTCTATCGCTTCTTCTGTTTTCTTTCCTAATCGCACCTCCAGTTCTTTAATTTCTTTCTTTTCATCCTCTCCGTTCTATTTCAGTTGGTGCGCGTTCTCGGGATGGCTCGTAAACTTTCAATAAAATTTATATTAAAAAAAACCCATTTAAAAAAAAACCGAGAGGAGATGAAATGCATATTAATAACAGAAAGAGGTATGGGTTGATTTTAGAAAAGATTCTTCTGCCAGGGAGGTCTGTACTTCTGAATGGGCGTTAAGCAACTTCAGATCCGGGGTGTTTTGATCTCAGTTCAAACCAATGTTGAATCCAGGGAGAGAAAGCGATGGGTCCCCGAGGGCTTTTGCCACGTTCCTTCCTGTAGCATCACTCCCTGGAGACCCCACACACTGTGTGTATAAGAAGATACTTACACACCACACCCAATTCCCTGCTTTGCCTCTCAAGCCCATCGTCCACGTTCTTCGGTGAGTTACTTTGATCTGCTATCGATTTTAAAACCTTTCCTTTCTCTTCGCTGGGCGCAACGTAATGTCAAATTGGGGTTCAGCCTCTAATGAAGTCTCTTCCCTCCTGTTATTTCCCATGCATTTGTCTTTTTGTAAAAGTATTTTTTAACCTGCCAGCTTTTTTTTCTAGCAGCTGTTAGCTAGGAGAAGGGAGCCAAGCCTCCAGCTTTAGGAGCAGTCTCCCTCAGAATCCTGCAACTGAACTGCAGAGAAAGGGTTTCCCCTTGTAGGTTCCCAGGAATGCCTGGTTAGCCGTAATAGCAATAGCACTTAGACTTCCATAGACTTATATACCTTATGTTCATGATTATTATATATAATAATAACGAACAATAATGTGTTAAATTTTAGTTACCCGAGTCTCAGCGAGTCTTGGAATCAGAACCCTGAGATTTTTAAAATTCACATTTTATTGCAATCAGGACTTCTGGCATAGCTTATTTTCTGCTAATTTGCCTTTTCAGTTCACAGATCAGGGCTTTTGCAGATAAAAAGCCTGTGCTTTGAACATATGTAATAAATACTCAGTGGATCGCTAAGATATTCCTATTGATTGAATTCACAAACCTTTTCCTGTCTGAAAACCACACCCGTTGCTAAGCAGGAGGCTTAAGCCAACCACAAAATTAACCAGGATTATGAGGAGTCATTATTTAACTTTCCAATGGTCTGAGCTGGCTTAATGTTTGGACAAGGTGGTGGCTTTTTCAAATTTTGTACTTATTTATTCAGCTTAGTATGTATGGTTGACTCACTCCTTTATGGAGGGTGAACATCCAAACCTGAAGTTTTAAGCTTATCCCTTAAAAAAAAAGAATAATTTAAAGATACAGCGGCTTTGCTGATTTATCCTACACCACTTCCATCTTCCCTTTTGGCCTCTACTCTTATCAAAAATGGCAAAACCTGTATTTTTGCAAGCTCTTCTTTCATTGTCGTCCTTGCAAAGATTTGTCCACTGTATTCACTAAAACCCCAGGCAATGGGTCAGAGGGATGCCTGAGCTTTAAAATAAGTGGGCTTAGAAGATGGATGGATGGATGGATGGATAAGAGGCAGGGAGGGAAGGAGAGAGAGAGGGACAGAGGGAAAGAGAAAACATAGCCAGGCAGAGGAGGGAGGCAGGGAAGAAGGAAGGAAGAACTGGAAGGGAGAAGAAAAAAAGGAAAAAATTGAGATGAGAGGAAGAAAAGAGGGAGAGAAGAAAAAATAGAAAGAGAAAGAAGGAAAAGATAGATAATATAAGATGGACGTGTAGATGGATGGATGGATGGATGGATGGATGGATGGATGGATAGACAAATTAGAAGAAAAAAGATAGATGAGAGACAGTAGAAAAGGAAGGAAGGAAGGAAGGAAGATGACACTCAACTCCCAGAATTCTGCAGCCAGCATGCTTTCTGACATTCATTCATGCAAACTGGGGGATTCTGGGAAACAAAGTCCACACATTTTCAAGGCACCAAGTTTACCTCTTTTTTTTAGAGCTGTTCCATTCCATTGCCCCTTATATTAAGATTGGTTTTTTTATGTACTCTGAATTTCATTCTGTGCTCACTTTCCTGTTCCAGAATACGTGTGTGTGTGTGTGTGTGTGTGTGTGTGTGTGTGTGTGTGTGTGTGTGTCTCCTCAATCAAGGGAATCTCTGCCCAATTTCTGAATCTCTGTCCCTCCTCCCAGGTCTTCTGCAAATATTTTGAAATGGTGATGCCTCTCTGTATACGTGGATGAGTTTGCTTTGAGGAAAGTCTGTTTGCTCCAAACATTATCAACTTAGCTGGACCCTCCAAGCACCAATATTAGGAGATCACAAGGGGGGGGGGGGAAATATTACACTTATCTGCCCACACATCCATTTTCTTTCCATTGCACAAACCTTATCTTAATTTCTCATATTCCTTTATAATGCTTCCCTGCCTTTGAAACAAGCACTTCAACTTTTATCCGGAATCCAGGCCCTGGGCAGGACGACTGGATTCCAACTCCCAGCAGCCACATCCGGCATTCCCAGCAGCCACAATCAGCAAAGGGGCAAGTCAGAATGTAAGCAAACCTCTTAACCTACCTGAAAAAGGGCAGCCAAGATCCGATGTGGTTTTGCAAAAAAATGCAACTTGGCTCGCTTGCATGAGCTCTCCATTTTCAAGCTCTTTAGACTCTTTTTAAGGCAGTCTGCTCTCCAGGGAGATTCTGGAGGTTAAAAAAAAAATACATAGATAGATATATAAACAGACACACGTATACACATATAAATATGCATTTACCCATACCTCTATACATATATAAGGAACATTTAAAGAAATATTTAATCATTAATCCAATTAAACAATGAAAGGTTTAAAGAAACACATTCCAAATAAAGAACTTACATCTGGGGGAAAAAAGTACTTTAAAAAAATAGCAATAATTACAAACCAAGAGAAAAACTGCCTTTTTTCCCCCCAGTGAATTCACTATTGTTTTCTTAACCTTGTCAACTTTTTAAGACAGGTGGACTTCAACTCCCAGCATTCCCCGGGCTGGGGAATTCTGGGAGTTAAGATAGTCCACCTATCTTAAAAGTTGCTAAAACTGAGAAATAACCAAGTAGAGGAAGCTGAAGGTAAAATCCAGGTTATTACAGAGGCCAGAAATTAAACGGATGAGTGGAAATAGTGCTGTAGAATAAAATTGGATCGTGACCGCCATCCCCTCCATCACGTGCAACTGATGGACCACCCCCCTCCCCTTTCTCCTCTTCCTCCTGGCATCAGACCGTCCTCGGTGCCCCCCGACCCATGGAGACCCCACTGGAGAAAGCCCTGGCCACCCTGGTGTACACCTTTCACAAGTACTCGGGCCGAGAAGGCGACAAGTTTACCTTGAGCAAAGGAGAATTGAAGGAGCTGGTGAAACAGGAGCTGGCCCTGGGAGAGGTAAGCAGGCTGGGGGGGCTGGGGGGGGGAGAAAGAGCCCCTTGCTTAATGGACAAAGCTCAACTGGGCATGGTCTTTTTTTTAAAAAAAGCAAGAAACTCAACCTGGGGTTCTAGTCCTCATGATTCTGAGGGTCGGCCAGGTCAGTTTTGCCTCTATTGTGGGTCGTCCTCAGCTTACCACCATAGCTGAGTCTGCAATTTTGGTAGTAAAGCAGGCGACCTTGTCATCGTGCCCGATCTGACATCCTTTTCCACGGCAGTCATTAAGCAAACAAAGCAGTCATTAAGCGAATGCAGTGGTCAGTAAGGGAAGCCACAGTTCGCCATGGGACGGGCTTTCCCTGGAAACTGGAGGCAAACACCAGAAAAAGCATCATAAATCGCAGTCACGTGCAAATGGTCGTAAACCAGACCTGTTGCCGAACCACAAAAACGTGGCCCTATGAGGATGGAGGATGTTGGAACTTTGAATCCGGGTGTTAAGTTCCTGTTTTGGGACTTGCTAAGCGGCCGGTCGTAAGTCCAGGAGCGCTGTGCTGTACAAACCATCCCAGGCCTCAGAATCATGAGGACTAGAATCCCAGGCTGAGTTTGGAACTGGCATGAAGCCCTGGGATGCACTTGAAGCAGCAAAGCCCCGGATGACCAGATTCCGGAACTTGTTGCACCATACTCCAATGGGAAAGATGAGGGCTTGGGACAATATCTCGAACCCAGACCTTTTCTCCTTTGCAGAAAATGAAGGATCATGGCATCGACAAGCTGATGCAAAGCCTGGACAAGAATAACGATGACGAGATCGATTTTAAGGAATACACCGGCTTTCTCTCGGCCCTTTGCATGTCCTACAACGAATTCTTCCAACAGGGTGAAAAATAAGAAGCCAGAAAATGGAGGGGGGGGGGAAGAGAAGGAAGGACCCCTCCCCTGTTTAAGTCCTTCTCTAGGCATCTCTCAATAATATATCTGGTTATCTAAATAAATAAAATACAGATCTTCCCAGGCCTGAGAGAAATGAAATGCAGAAAAAAGGGGAGGCCGGTAGCAAGGGGGCAAAATTGTGATTGTTTTAACCATTATTCTTGATGCTAAATTAAATTGAATTAAATTAAATTTCTGGGTGATGGGGAGCAAAAGATTTATTCCGTCACAATCGCACGGCAGATTTTACAAGCCTGGACTTGCCATTTGCAAGAACAGATACCAAATTCAGCTGTTTCTCCCAGCGAGAAAATAAAAACTAAAAAAAAAAAAAAATCCCCTTTGCATCTCAAAAAGGCTTAAACTGACAACACGACAACACAACATTGTTGGGCTGGGTTAAATACAGTGATAAGTTGGCCGCAAAAATCCCTGGCGGGCCACCCACAGCAGGAAGCGGGCGAGAAAATTCAGGCTGTTCAAGTTTATGCGACTTTTCCCCAACTCCGAAGGTGATATGGGAGAAGTGCCAGCTTCACACTTTTTGTGAGTCTCGCCCTCCCCTCCCCAAAGTCACACTTTGGGCACTTTGAGGCCAGCTGAAAAAAAAAATATTCACCAACAAGAAGTAGAGTCCGACCTCTCTCTCTCTCTTTTCATCTAGGTAATTACTGGAAGACTTTGACCTAAGTCTTGATAGAGAAGGAAAGGAAATATGGATTTATTCAGTGTCTATTTTTTTTCCATTTTAAAAAAACTGCTTAAAATCTAATTTTCTTAGACACAGTAGTCATCGAGAGAGGAATTACGATTCAGAGAGAGAGAAAAAGAATGGAGAAAGAAAGAAAGAAAGAAAGAGAGAGAAGGAAGGAAAGAGGGAGAGAAAAAGAAAGGAGAGAAGGAGTGAAAGAAAGAGAAAGAAAAAGAAAGAAAAAAGAAAGAGGGAAGGAAAGAAAGAGGGATAGAAAAAGAAAGGAGGGAAGGAGGGAAAGAAAGAGAAAGAAAGAGGGAGTGAGGGAAGGAAAGAGGGGAAAGAAAAAGAGGGAGGGAAGGAGGAAAAGAAAGGAAGGAAGGAAGGAAGGAAGGAAGGAAGGAAGGAAGGGAGGAAGGAAGAAAGGAAGGAAGGGAGGAAGGAAGGGGGAGAATGGAAGCAAAGGAACAGATCAAGTTTCTAGCCCTCAGGATAAAACCAAAACTTTTTTTTTTCCTATCCACCTACTCAAAAAAAACAACCACTAGGGAGGTGTTAATAGCAGCAAATTAAGGTGGGCTGTCAGATGTGAAAAGGAAGGGGAGGGGCTTCTTCTCTTCCACCCAATCAGATGTCTCTTGGGGGCCAGGCTGAGCCCCGCCCCTCCTGATAAATCTGGGCTCCCCTCCTGGTGGGTCCACCACTTTCCCTTGTCCAGCCATCTTGCAAGACACATCCATTTTGGGGTAAGTAATCCTCTCTTCCTCCCACTTTCTCCTTCAGTTTTTCCTCCTTTCCTCCTTCCGAAGAATTGGGGGAACGTTGGAGAAAGGGGGGGGCTGATCTTCCTCCCCACCTACCCCAAAGGAAAAGTTTCTTTGGAAAAGTCAGGAATTTGCTCTGGGAAGGGAGGAGAAAAAAACCAACAAATTTGGGGTTTTGGAGTGGGGGGGGGGAGACAAGACCTTTGAAGATGTTGCCCTCCCGACGGAGCTGTGCCTCCTTGTGCCTGGAGCATGTGCAGAGTGCCACACCACCACCCTAGTGGCAGACGCCTTGGCAATGGGGCAGCCGATAAACTTAAATTAGTAACAATAATCAAGTAGAGGGCGTCGTCCTGCCGGAGCAGGGGGTTGGACTAGAAGACCTCCAAGGTCCCTTCCAACTCTGCTCTCAAACAGAAAATTAAACAAAATGTCTCCTTTTGCTGGAGAAAAGGCTGCCAGCCCCCTCCGGCCTGGGATTTTTCCCATCCTGGGTGGGTCACTGGGGGGGGGGCAAGGGGGCCACGCCACTGAACCCACGTCCTTAGTGGGTCCCCCCAAAAACCCCCTCTGCCATCTTGCCAGGGTGTGACGACGCAGGAATAAAAGACACGCAACGGGTGGGGCGGTTGCCACCCTTACACACACACTACACACACCCACATACAGCTGACAGCTGAAGCGAACTTTCCAAAGATTTTTTTTTTCTTTTCCCCAATTTTTGGATGCCCCCTGGTGGGAAAAGGCGGGAATGTCCGAAGGCCGGGAAATTGGGGAGAAGGAAAGGGGGTGCAGCTTTTCTTTGGGGGTTTAAAAAAAGAAATAAGTACCTTGGAAACTTTCACACACAGAGACACACACACACACACCATCCCTTCTCACCGGCCCTGATGGGGAAAATCGGGGGGCTAAATTCGAACGCAGCTCTTCCAGCTTCAGAGGCCCCCTGCTCCGTCTTTTTCCTTTGCTCCAGGTTTTAATTCCTTTCAGCCTCTTTGCCGGAAACGGCCTAAGTCGAAGTTGAAGAAGGAAATTCTCTCCGGGATGGGGGTCCCTTTCAAAGTATTTCCTTTGCAAAAGGCCCTTTTGTCTTTCCCCCACCCCCCCAAAAAATAAATAAAAATATTTGGAAATTCTATCCTTTACGGCTGGCAAGCTGTCCCATGAAGGAGGAGAGCTTTGCGCCCACTGGCAGGACAAAGCACCAAATTTGGGAAAAAACAAAACAAAACAGGGTATTGCCGTCATTTGGGCAGATGAAAAAAAAGAACGGAAAAAGAAGCGAAAAATAAGAATTTTTGCAGCTGAAAACGACCCCTTTGGTGGTTTCTGATCGGACAAAGGCCCAGGGGTGATGCGACGGCCGGAAGAAATTTCGATTTTTCTATTCATTTTTCTGGCGCTCTTGGGAGACGAGCAGCTCTGGCATTGTCCTGGGCACTTGTGTAGTTGGGACGTGCTGAGAACTCGCAACGTCACAGCTGGCAAGGAAGCCTGAAAGCCAGGCAGGGCATTGCCAGGAAATCTCACGGCTTAAATGAAGACAAAGGTGAAATAGGGAGAAGGGAAGGGAAAGGAAAGAGGGAGAAAAGAGAAAAAAAGAGGGAAAGGAGAAAGGAGGGCAAAGGAAACAAGAGGGGAGGGAGAGGGAATGGGAGGAGGAAAAGGAAGGAGAAAAGGGGGAGAGAGGAAGAAGAAGAGGGAAGAGGAAGAGAAAAAAGGACAGAGAAAAGGAGGGGAGAAAAAAAGGACAATGGAGAAGGGAGAAGAGGAAGAAAGGAATGGAGAAGGGAGAGGAAGGGGAAGGGGAGGAGGAAAAGGAAGGATGGAGAAAGGAGGAGAGGAGAGGAAGACAGGAAAGGAGATGGAGGGGAGGAGAGGGAAGAGGGGGAGAGGAAGAGGAGGAAAGGACGGAGAAAAGGAGGTGAGGGAGGAAGAAAGGAAAGGAGACGGGAAGGGAGTAGAGCAGAGGAGAGCAAGAGAAGGAAAAAAGGACGGAGAAGGGAGAAGAGGAAGAAAGGAAAGGAGGCAGGAGAGGGAGGGGAGAAGAGGAGAAAAAGGAAGGATGGAGAAAAGGAGGAGAGGGGAGGAAGGAAGGAAGGAAGGAAGGAAGGGAAAGGAGAGAGAAGGCAGGAGAAAGGAAAGCCCCATCGCTCTCCCCCCCCCATCTCAAAGAAATCAATGCCATCTGCCTGTCTGATCCGCTAAAAGGGAAACTAACACGAGAGTGGATCAGGCAGGCCCAGAAAAGCAGGAATTCTCTGGTTAGGAAGCCGGGGTCAGGCTAAATGACCTTTGGGTGCAACCCAAACGTGGATCTGATCTGATGTTCTGGGAAGGAGGAAAGCCCCGGGAGGTGCAGAGGGGAGGGGAGCAGAGCAAGGATTCAACGGTGGTTGGGAAAAGTGAATTGTCAGGAAAAGGATGGGTGGGGGGATTTTTAAGATAGACGATTCCTAGCCAAAGAGGCTCCACCAGGGGAAATGAGAGACAGCGGAGGAAAACCCAGACAAGGAGAGCGTTTTTGGGGTGGGGAATTGGAGCCCAGCCCAGCCCAGCCTGAAGGAGTCCTTTTTGCTCAGATAAATCTCTGAACGTGCTAATTAAAATGAAATCACCGCCTAAATGAAAGCTTCTTTGGAAGCCGGGCCTCTCCCAAAGACGGGAGGAAAAAAAAAGGAAGAAATTCAGGATGATCAACCGACTTATTCAGATTCCGACGTCTGGGATCCTTTTTGCCTTCCTCTCCCATCCCAGGGGATGAAAAATCCCCAACTGAATGAAGAATCTACTTTTGGAAAGCGTCAAATCAGCCCGTCTTTCATTTTTACTGGAGAAAAATTTAAGTTGCAAACTTTTTTAAGAAATTCCACCCCCCCCCCAAATGTTTCTGGCCACATTCTCCTGATTGGATAGCGCGTGCGAAGCGAGGCCAGCTTTGAAAAATAAAAATAATAAAAATAAACACCTGGCTGGTGAAGAGAGGAACCTATTTGATTTTCTTCTTTCTCCCTCCCCACTAGATCCACTTCTGAGTTCGAATCATGGCCTCACTGGATCAAGCCCTCTGCATCTTGGTGGCCATCTTCCACAAATATTCGGGCAAGGACGGAGACAAGAACACCCTCAGCAAGAAAGAATTGAAAGAACTGATCCAGAAGGAGCTGACCATTGGTCCGGTAAGTGCACACAGGGGACCAAAAAATAAATAAATGTTATTTTCATAATGATGAGGACTAGCCTCTAGATTCGGCCAACACCGACTCTTCCCAACCCCTCCCACCCGAAAAGCCTTGCCATTTATTTATTTTTCTTTTCCTTTTCATTCCAGAAATTGCACGAAGAAGAGATCCAGGGACTGATGGAGGATTTGGATCGGAACAAGGATCAGGTGGTCAATTTCACGGAATACGTTACCTTCATCGGCGCCTTGGCCATGATTTGCAACGAGGCTTTGACCAGCTAGGATGGACTGATGGGGAAATGTGGGGAGGAGGGGCTGAAATGAAACCAGCCCCTCGGGGAGAAAGGGTTGGTTACCCAATTTAAGAAGGAAAAAAATAATAATTTTTTTCTCCCCCAAACATTGTCTGGTCTTTTGTCTTTGCTCATCTCGTTTGGAAGAGGACGAAAAAGATCAAAAAGGTCCCAGGAAGCTTTATTCTCCCCCCCCCCACCAATCCCTAATTCTAATCCTGGGTGTGACGTCGAGAAAGAATGGGTTAAAAGAAAAAAAAAATCTGTATAAATTTAGGAAGGCGCTGGTAGTCCTCAAGTTACGGCCATTTCCGTTGTTTAATTTTTAGGGCCTGTTTTTTTTTTTTTAAACTCAAAGGCCCTCCTGCTGAAATCCTCAGTTTGTGTATAGAATAGAGCTGGAAGGGACCTTGGAGGTCATCTAGTCCAACCCCCTGCCCTAGGCGGGAGAATCTATCCCATCTCAGACAAGTGTCTGTCCAACCTCTTCTTAAAAACCTCCAGTGATGGAGCGCCCACGATTTCTGGTGGCAAGCTGTTCCACTGGCTAATTGTTCTCCCTGTCAGGAAGTTTCTCCTTAATTCCAGGTTGCTTCTCTCTTTGGTCAGTTTCCAACCATGGTTTCTTGCCCTGCCCTCCTCTGGTGCTTTGTTTGTTCAATTTTATCCTGCCCTCGGAAACCCACCTCTTCCCAAGACCCCCGGCAAGTCCCATCGGGGCTAAAATGGGTCGGTTTGGTGGTGGTGGGGTGTTAACATGCCAGGGTGGGTGGGTGGTTCGGTTACTCCATGGTTGACTCAATCAACCGCTCTGTCCTGCCCTCCGGCTGAGCTCTCTGCGTGCGCTCAGGAATATTCTCACATCGTCGCGCTCTTTGATGGAGCCCAATCCGGCTTCTCCGGGGACCCTCACCACCTGTGGGGGTGTTTTGGGGAGTGGGGAACCCCGCCACCGCACCTCAAAAGTGAGCACTGACCTGCCTCAAAGCCGTCCGAAAGCTGGCGGGCTGGGAAGACAAGGTGGACGGAAGGGAGTCGCCCTCAAAGGGGGCTGAGGCTGACTGGCTGGCACAAACCCACCACACACTCGCTCTCCGTCGTAGCCCGGCTCGGTTATGCATACCACTGCAAAGCGGAAGATAGGTGTGGCAACCTGTAACAACTGCCTGACTGTCAATATATTTGATTCGATCAGATGCTGTGGATAAAACAAGATTGGGGGCAGCGGGGGCGAGGCAGATTCACTCTCATCCTTGGGAGTTTTTCACCAAAATAATCAGGTGGAGAAACCCACCCACCGAACTCTGTGCCTTTGAACCTGGCTTGTGGGGGGGGGTAAACATTTCAGAAGCCCCCCACCCCCCAAACTGAAACAAAACGTCCCTCCCCCAATCCTGTCCAAACCACACACGACATCATGATAATTCACATGTATTTAAAAAATAATAATAAAATCATTCTGGTTCATCTCCTCCACGGGGGCGGGGGCGGGGGAGATGGAAAGAGGCAGCAACCCAGATTTGTGGCCAACCCAGCCTGGGGGGGGGTCTTCCCACCAGCCCCCCTCCCCTCGCTCCCCGGCGCTCGGCCTTCCACGTCCGACGGATAAGAATGCAAAGTTAGAAGTGCCTTAACTAGCAACTATTCTCCTTCATCTCCCCAGGGGTGAAAAACATGGCAGTTTGAGAAAGAGAGAGAGAGAGAATGAAAGAGACAGGAGAGAAAGAAAGAGGGCTATGTACAGAATTCTTTAAAAATAAAATTAAAAACAAAAAACCAGCAAGAAATTGATTAGGCGAGAAAAATTAAGGGGGACAAAACAATAACAAAAAGATGGGACAATTCTCTCTATTCTCCTCCCATTGGGAGGCATCTTACAGGGGGACGATAACACGGGGGTGAAAAATGGCTGAGATGCTTTTATGCCGCCCCGTTTCTTGATTTGAGGGGTTCAGAAAGTGACCCCCCCACGATCTCACCCAACCCAGATAACATCTGGGAAGGCATTCCCCTCCCTCGCTGCTCCTGCTCATCCGTTCCACCCAACGCTCGGGTCGGATGGATCCGAAAGGACGCCTCGTCGCCCTTCCTCAACGTTCCTCGAACCTGGGGCCAGCCCTGCCTCTGGGCCAAGCATTGGGAGAGCATCCAAGCTGCTGAAGCTACGAGGGTCTCTCCCCAGGTGGTGTGGGGGGGAGAGAACGTGGCATTTGGGGAGGAAGCAAAGCGCGAATCGTCCGCTCTGTCTCTCGGTCGGGTCCACACCCCCCCCCCCGAGGATTGGCAGCGTGGCCCAGCCCGTTTGATTCTCCGCGGCTCACGAGGGTCCCGCAGTCCCTGCCGGGGTGGGTTGGGGGGGGGTCTCTCGGCACCCCTTGTGTTCACTGGAGCCGGTCGGTGCGGAAGGAGTCTTCGACAGAGGGATCGGTCAGCAGGACGTAAGGGTCGCTCAGCATATTGAGTCCGTCCAAGCTCAGCGGCTCGATCTTCAGATCCTCGTCCAGACCCAGGGAAGCCGCGTCCATTTCGAAGCCCGGCATGCTCGCCAGGACGCTGGCGATTTCTTTGGAGATGCCAGGCGGGGAATCCCCTAGGAAGGAAGATCGGACATCCACAGCTACACAACGGGGCGTGGGAACCAAAGGTCAGTCGGAGGGACCCCATCTGCAGGAAGAGGTCACGGTCCAGCCCACCCCAAAGGGAAGGATGCAGAACTCAAATCCACCCTACTACTACAATATTCTTGTCGGGAGCACTGAGGCAGTTCCAGGTCAACGGTGACATCATAGTTGCCTGTGGGGATGCGGAGTTGGGGGGCTCCTTTTGTGTCCCCATTAAGTGTCAACTCATGGCTACACACTTTCAAACTGCCAGGTCAGGAGCAGCTGCAGACAGTGACAGGAGCTCATCCCATCTAGCGACAGCACCTGGGTCTCAAATGCCAGCCTGCCCAAGGTCCTAACCAGGTGGGCTGCTGCGCTCCTCGATCCACCCGATCTTGTTTGGCGAGATCAGGGGGGTATCCTGAGAGAGATCTCATCCGCTCGAATGGGGAGCCACCCGTTCTAAAGCTGAAGGCGGCCGCCACTTCCCCGCCCGATCGGCGGGCGCCCAGTTCCCAACCTGCCCGCCGCAAAACGGAACGCGCCAATTACCCGTGAGAATGATGTTGGGGATGGGGCCGTGACGACTGCAATTGCTCAGGTTCTGCCGACCGAGCAAGTGGGGATCGTTCATGGCGCTGCTGTTGCTACTGTGGCCGCCCCCTCCGCCTGCTGGCGGTCCCATGTGGTCGCTCGGCGAGTAATTTAAGGCACCCATGTCCTCCGCGAAGGCGTTGCTGTTGAAGGCAAAACCTCCAGTCATGTTGTCGACAAAGCCGTACTGGTCGAACTGCGGAGGGGAAGAAAAGGCACAGGTCCCGTCACAAGGAGCCCCACGAGCAGGAGGCTGGGACTGGATGACCTCCCGAGGACCCCGCTGGCCGCTACGAGCCTGGCAAATCAGCAAAGGGTGGGGTGGGGTGGGGGAAACTCACGTTGCCAAAGCCGAAGTCCCCCAACGGCTGGTTGAGCTGATGCTGGAGCATGGAATTAGGCTGGTAATGCGCCGGGTAAGGGCAGGGCGGCTGGGAGGGCTGGCGTGTTTGAGAGGTAGGGACGCCTCCGGGCACCTGGTGCTGGGACTTCTGGCTGTGCTGAAGCAGCACACCTGGCTGGTTGTAGGGGTAGGGCGGAAGCCGCTGGTCTGTGGGGAGCTTGCTGGTGTCCAACGGTACCCCCTGGAGATGGGAGGGAAGCTTCAGAAAGGGGAACTGCCCCACAAGTGGGGGTAACCTGCCCCTTTGTGGAGGGAGGGAGGGAGGGAAGAGCTCTTTGTATTGGCTATGCCCACCTGCTCTATTAGGGTAGGAAATCATAGCTCTTAGATCAGTGTTTCTCAACCTTGACAATTTTAAGGCATGTGGACTTCAACTCCCAGAATTCCACAGCCAGCATTGCTGGCTGTGGAATTCTGGGAGTTGAAGACCACATGTCTTAAAATTGTCAAGGTTGAGAAACATTGTCTTAGATGGATGCGGCTGGACCACCCCTCCTCAACCATTGCCCGAATCTCCAGCCTCCGTGGGATTATAGGTAATCCTCGGCTTAAGGACCAAAACTGGATCAGAATAGAGCTGGAAGGGACCTTGGAGGTCTTCCAGTCCAGCCCCGTGCTCAAGCAGGAGCCCCTAGAAACCGTTTCTTCTTAAAAGCCTCCAGCAATGGAGCGCCCCACAACTTCTGCAGGCAAGCAGGTCAATTGTCTTCACTGTCAGAAAATTCCTCCTTAGTTCCAGGTTGCTTCTCTCCTGGGTTAGTTTCCATCCGTCGCTTCTTGTCCTGCCTTCGGGTGCCTTGGAAAATAAACTGACCCCCTCTTCTTTGGGGCAGCCCCTCGAATACTGCAATGTTGCTATCGTGTCCCCCCCCCTCGTCCTTCTCTTCTCTAGACTAGCTATACCCAAATCCTGCAGCCGTTCTTCCTGCGTTTTAGTCTTTAAGCATCTTAGTTGCTCTTCTCTGCACTTTCCCCCAAAGCCTCCTTTTTTTCCGTCACGTGGGGACCAAAACTGGATGCAGGATCCCCGGGGTGTGGCTTAACCACCATCTCGCTTAGCGATGGAAAGGTTTGGGCTCAAGATAGCGGTCGTTAAGCCGAGGACTACCTGCACGCCGCTTGAGGATTGGAAGGGGGAAGAAGAGAAATGGTTGGAAAGGATCCTTAGCGGGGAAGAAAAAGGGGCGCTTCCGGTTGAAATGAGATGGGAAAAGAAAAGTGAAGAACACAGAAGGGAGGAAGGGAAGGAAGGAGGAAAAAAAAAAGAGGGGCCAGGAGGGAACACAAAGGGGGGGAGGACACAAAACGTTCCCATCACAAGCCTCTCTCCCCCCCCCTCCCGGGTGCGTACCTGGGTGATGGAAGACAATGTGGGTGACATAGTTGGCGAAAACTGTTTGGGGTGCTGTCGTCTTGCATCTCCAGCCATGGGGAGAGTCAGGGGGCTGAGGGGGACCCTGCGGCGGGGCGAAGCGTTCAGAGGGGTGTAGGAGGCGGCCGGGGACGAAGCGGTGGAGGAGGAAGAGGAGGAGGAGGAAGCCGGCCCCCCAAAGCCCGGGGGCGGATGGTGGTGGGGATGGGGCGGTGGGGGCAGCCGGGAATTGGCCGGGACCGAGGGCATCGAGTGGGCGCTGAGCAAGGTGGGGAGGGAAGGGTTGCTGAGCGAGGTGGACAGCGAGGGGGTGCTGAGAGAGGAAGGCAAGGACTGGCTGCTGAGCGGGGAGGCGATGGAGGAGCTGCTGGGCGAAGGGCACAGGGCGGGGGCATTAAGCGAGGACTGCAGGCAGGGGTTACTGAGAGAGCTCTGCATAGATGAACACAGCCCTGCGGGGGACAAAAAAAAATAAAAAATGAGAACAAAAAGAACCATAAATCCGTGAGACAAGCAAAACACACACACACACACACACACACACACACACACACACACACGGAAGAGGGCTGACCGTGGCACATCGCAGTCTCCAGGGACTTCCGGAGGAGAAAGAACGGCGAGCTTTTCTTTCCCTGAGCTGGCAAACTTTTGCTACCTCCGGAGCTGGAGAAATGATTCAATTCGACACAAACACACACACACACAAAATGGAATAAAATGCCAAACATCTACAAGGACACATGAGAAGATGGATGGGGCACCTGCTTGGGTGCAACGGGGTTACGGCTCGCAACCGACTCGGCCAGGAGCGAGAAACGAGGCGAGCCGGGATGAGAATCTGTCCTGTTTTGATAAATCGCTTGCATTTTTTTAAAGGGGGGGATTGGATAAAGCTACCCAATGAACTCCGGTTGATACCGACTTGAGAGTAAGCAGCCTCCTGACCCGTACCTGGGGGGTCATAGCCGTGGCCCAGGCCCATCCCACCGCTGATCCCCAGGTGCGTCATGGTGCTGGCCAGGTTGCTGGTGCTGCTTCCGCCACTCAGGCTGGGGTAGGCCGACTCCTCCGGGTCCAGGGGCGTAGGCAACGGGGAAGGGAAGTGCAGATTGGTCAGATCTGGCAGGGACCCCCCCGTGTTGAGGGTGGCTGGCATCAGAGGCAAGTTGGTAGGCTGGTCTGGGGAGGGGAAGATGCTGCAGGAAGGAGAGACAAAAAAAAGGGGGGGGGAAAGTAAGAGAAAAAGTGTCACCTTTGCGGGCCTTACCAACAATGTGTGTGAATTTGGGGACCTCTAAAACTTTTCTCGACTCCCCACAGGTAGAAATCTCGCCCACCTTGGCCTGAGCAGCTACCTTTCTACCAGCGGTGAGACTATCCTTTCACCACGCTGGAAGGCGGGAATACTATTTCCAAAAGGGGCCCAGTTTCATCAGCTGTGCCCTTGGCAGCCTACAAGTCTTTCCCCACGTTTGAACAACAGGAGAAAAGTCTTTGATGGATTTGATATTTAACACGCTCGGGGAAAACAACGTGGCGACGGGAAAGAGAATCCCACTGCTACTCACTGGATTCCAGGCACCTCGCAAGATCGGGGACGGGCGGAAGACGAGGAGAGCTGAGGAAGAGAAATATCCCGTTGTTGGATGTGGGGAGGGGGGGCAACGGAAGAGGGGGTGATGGGAAGAAGCCACAAGGCCTCGCTTCTGAAACCGGTGAGGCACCCACCTTCTTGGTGTCCCAAGGTTTCAGCGACTGCTTCCCGTCATCTAAGAGGTTCTCTTCGATGGAAGGCACTTGGAAAAGAAACACTGGGGGGAGGAAGAGGCAGAAGAGTTAGGAGGGTGCCTCACTTCCCACAAGGGGGTTTTAGGGAGAGAAGAGAAGAGAAAAGAAGAGAAGAGGAGAGGAGAGAGAAAAGAGAACAGAAAAGAGAAGAGGGAAAAGAGAGGAGAGAGAAAAGAGAAGAGAGAACAGAGAACAGAAAAGAGAAGAGGGAAAAGAGAAGAGAGAGAAAAGAGAAGAGAGAAGAGAGAACAAAAAAGAGAAGAGGGAAAAGAGAGGAGAAAAGAGAAGAGACTAAAAGAGAGAAGAAAAAAGAGAGAGAAGAGACCAGAAGAAAGGAGAGAGCAAAGAAAAGAAAAAAGAAAAGAGACCAAAAGAGACCAAAAGAGAGAAGAAACCAGAACAGAAAAGAGAAAAGAGAGATTACAGCCTCTTCTCGCTCCTCAAACTAAGAAAAAAAATTCAACTTTGAGAAGCAGATGCTCATCTCCCTAAACTGATTAGGCGAACAAGCGAGGCCGAGACTTTGAGGGAGGGGGTGTATCAAAGAAAGGGTCTTACCTTTGCTATCCGTATCAGTATCTAGGTAACCTTAAAAAAAGGGGGGGAGAAAAAAAAGAAGAAAATATAGAAGGTAGCATGAAAGATTGCTGGGATTATCATCTTCCAGGCACTCCCCATCTCCTCCTCCTCCTCCTCCTCCGCCTTGCTCAGCTTGCAACCCCCTTGCTAGGGGTCCGTTGGAAGCTCCCGTTGGTTTTGCCCTCTGAAACCAGTGCTTCTCAAAGCTGGCCACTTTAAGAGGGGTGGGACTTCAACTCCCAGAATTCCCCAGCCAGCACAGGGGCTGCTTTCAATGGCCTAGACTAGAGGCAGAACTATTTTTTGAGGATAGAAACTCAGACTTGAAGCATTTAAGCCGTGTTTCAAGCTTGAGTTTCTATCCTCCAAAAAATTGTTCTTCCCCTAGTCTAGGCCATTGAAAGCAGCCCCTGTGCTGGCTGGGGAATTCTGGGAGTTGAAGGTCCCACCCCTCTTAAAGTGGCCAACTTTGAGAAACGCGGCCCAGTGCTTCAAGTCTGAGTTTCCGTCCTCAAAAACGGTTCTTCCTCTAGGACATTGAAAGCAGCCGCTTCTCCTTAGACGGGACAATTAAACCTCCGTCAAATGCTCATCTCGAAGAAGCATCCTGCAAAGAAACCCCAAATCCTAGCCAGAGCGTGGCCACCGCCTCTCTCGCAAGACCCACGCCCCCCCCCAATCAGGCACTCACCGGTCTTCCGATTGGGAGGGGGGGCCGCCTGAGAGGGTCCCAGGTACATGTTCTGTGGGTTGGGATTCATCACGCTGGTGTGGAGGGCAGAGTCCGAGTTCGTTCTGCTTAACGAAAGAGAAGAGGGCGGAACGAAAAGGGTTTTAAGGTTCAGATTTTTCCCAAAAATGATCCATGCTCCGTCTTAACGGAGAGGAAGAAACCTGAAAATGTGCAGACGATACGCATTATGGCTAGTCCTCGGCTTTACAACCGTTCGTTTGGTGATTGTTCAAAGTTTACAGCGGCACGGGAAAAAAAGGGACTTAGGACCGTTGTTTCGCACTTACGACCACTGTCTCCCAGGTCACGTGGTCAAAATTCAGACGCTTGCCAACTGACTCATCTTTACGACGGTTGCAGTGTCCCAGCTGGGGGGGGGGGTTTTCTGATGAGCAAAGTCCATGGAGAAGCCAGATTAACAACTATGTGACTAGCTTAAGAACCACAGTATTCGTTTAACAACCGTGGCAAGCCAGGTCGTAAAATGGGGCAACACTGATCTAACAAAGGCCTCGCTTTGTGATGGAAAATTTGGGCTCGCCAGTCGAATCTGTATATTCGCATGGCACGTCCATCCTTCTTCCGCCTCGCCAGCTGGCACCGAACGTGAAACGCGGCAGCCGATGTAATCCAGGGGGAGGAGAGGTTGGGACGTTAACGAAGCCACTAGAGAGGGAGGTTTTGTGTGTTTGTGTCTGTGTGTGTGTCTGTGTGTGTGTTTAATGCTCCCTTTCCACTCTAATCTTTTTAACAATGTCTCCGGGGACAAAACGGAGGGGAAGGGGAAGGGGAAGGGGGGGAACGGGGAGAGGGCTAGGCCACTGTAGCTCTTCCAAAGAAACATAATGGGGTTTATTGTTGAGTTGTGAACAGATCAGCCTCCTCCTCTGTGGCCTTGTGCGTTGAAGAAAGCAGCCAGAGGAGAGGGGGAATGAGTGGGTGGGGGGGAGGCCCACAAGAGAGAAGGCAAGCTAGATAAAGGAGAACCAGCCTGGTGCATTCCCCCCCCCCAATTTCTAGAATTGCAGAAGGGCCATCGAGTCTGATTTTCACTGCCTGCGTTCACAAATACGCAGGGCGCTTTGAGGCTCTGAAAACTGCAGCCAACTTTACACAGCCCCGTGGAAGGGGTTCCCCTCACCCCCATCAAGCTTACACAGCTCCCTTTTAAGTGGGGGGTGCTGGTAGCCCCCCAGTCCTGTAGGAGATGGTGTAGGAAAGAGCCACAGGGTCCTGGAAGGTCCTCAAAAGGAGATTTGAAGCCGCCAGGATGTCTAAAAGCTTCAGAAGAGTCCGATAAATGAGAGGCCCCTTATCCAGTAGAAGTCTACCCCCTGAATTAGCCGTGAGTGGAAGTGAAAGGCACTGATTTAAAAGAATCATTTTAGGAGAGAGTGATCCCTAAGATACATTTGAAGAGGGGAAAAAAAGTTTTTAAGCACAGACTGATCAGCTAAGGAAACAAACAGAAACTTGGCGTTGAGGAAAAACACGCCTGCGTTTCAAAAAAAGAAAAACACACTGAAGACACAATCGAGGCAAAACAGAGGAAAGTGTAGAGATGTGGTTTGCGGGAAAATGTGCAGAGATCTGTAGCAAAGGAAATATTTCTCCCCATTTTCTAAGTTTCTGTTCAGAGTCACACAGGCCTTAAGCCTCCCAGAGAGTGTCTGCGGGAAGGAAGCATTGCGTTAAAGAGGGAGAAATACAAAATGGCTCACCTGTTGAGTGAGGCAGGCAGTCTAAACAAGCGTTCTTTCTCCAGAGGAAAATTTCCCCAAGGCATTGTCCTTTGCAACAAACGGAAAAAAAAAAAAACAACACCAGTTACTCCAGGGTTGTGGGGAAAAAACTGCTTTCCAACATTAGCTAGAATTTGCAGATCTGGGCTGCAGATCCACAGGCTGCCATTAGTGGGCAGCGACAGACCAGGAGGTTCCCGAATGCCTTTCTCGCCCTCTAGTGGCCGTCTCCATTTCTGCAAGCAAAATAGGGTCCCGAGAGTTGAGAAATTGGCCAAACGTGGGAAAGCAAAGACGGCAGTCGGAGAAAATGGCGAGATCGTAAAATGGGGTCCGCTCCTGCGCATAACGTGCTTTGTGACCGTCACGACTTACGAGCGTAACTGCAGGGCTTGATTATAGTCATAACTCAAGGATGACCTGTAAGTGACTGACGGGAAGGAGACTAGGATGAAAGCAGTGGGGAGGAAAAGTAAAGGGCAAAGGATGGTAGCTGTGGGGTCCTTGGTGTTCTGTGAGCTTGGTTGTTTTCTTGCAGATGTTTCATGACCCAACTAGGTAACATCTTCAGTGCTGGGAGGAAGAGGGAGAGGTTGTGAAGTGGAGGAGGAGAAAGAGAGGAGGAGGATTATAGGGTCCTTGGTGCTCTCTAAACTTAGTTGAAGTAACAGACGTTTCATTACCAAACTAGGTAATAGCATCAGTGCTAGTATGGAACGGGGTGTGCTCTCATTTTATACACCAGTGGCTTGCTTTGTAGGTAAAGTGTGATAAAGACTCACCTTCTCCAGCTCGGTTCAGCAGGAGGGGACAAGTACGCCGGACTATAAGGAGAACTGTCGATGTGACAGGGGAGTTAAGGACGACACAATGTAGTGGCCCTTCAGCAAGTCCCTGCTGTAGGTCGAACCCCCAAAGAAGAATTGCTTTTGCTCGTTGGTCCCTGCAGAACCACCAGGCCAAGGTCGGTGTGTGTTTATCTATTAAATTTATAGGCTTCCCCATCTCACCAAAAGTGACTCCCGGCGGCTAGAGTTGCGTTGCGTAGCAAGCAAAGAGAAAGGATATTTGTCGTACGTAGCGACGCAGCGGTGAGATCATCCGGCGGGGATCCCGCTGTACCCGTTCCACCAAGCCGTGATGCCGCGTGCCCCGGGCTGAGTCCAGTGGAGAATGGAGGGAACCCTGCAGGGGGCGGGGGCACAGAGAGAGGCAGTGTGGTTGGGATAAGAGGGGTCTATGAAAGTGTGAAGATCTGAGGCAGGGGTCTGCAAAATTGGGGAACTGGAACTTCCTGTATGTCAATTTCGATAATTTGTATGTCAATTTCAATAATGTGTGTCAATTTCAATAACTCATCCGTCAATTTCAGTAATTTTTGTGTCGATTTAAATATCAGTATCAATTGTATGTCAATTTCAACATCAACTGTGTCAATTTTGATAAACTGTGTGTCAATTCCAATACATTGGAACTTCCTGTGTGTCAATTTCAATCATTTGCGCATCAATTTCAATACACTGTCAATTTCAACACATTGTGCTGTCAATTTCAACAAGCTAAGTGCCAATAAAAGGTTGCATCTGGGTTCAGTTGCAGCTTGGGCTAAACCCCCTCCTGCCAATCAGGGTGGGGACCCCCCTAAGCAGAAGAGTGAACCCATCATGGAAGAAATGTCAAGGAAGATCCCCGGATTGTGGCTTGCTTCAATGATGGTTACCTGAAACTCTGCCGCGCCACTTCCAATCTGGTTGACGTTGGGCAGCGATCCACCGTAATAAGGTCCTCGGCTGTGCGCCAGTCGCAACTTCTGAGCCTGCAACTGAAGGCGGAAAGAGAAGAGGTCAGTGGTCAATTCACAGTGGGTCCACACGGATTCTTCACTGCCCTGGGGAGACAGGTCTCTTGCTTGAGCAGGGGGTTGGACTAGACGACCTCCAAGGTCCCTTCCAGCTCTGTCATTCTATAATCCCAAATCAATTAGTCGGTGGAACAGAAGTTGTCTCCAGAAGTTGTGGGTGCTCCATCACTGGAGGTCTTCAAGAAGAAACTGGACCGCCATTTGTCTAGAATGGGATACAGTCTCCTGCTTGAGCAGGGGGTTGGACTAGAAGACCTCTAAGGTCCCTACCAACTCTGTGATTGGATTACGGAGACCACAATCCTGTGTAACCCATCAAGAATGCTCCACTTTTAAGAACCTGGATGTTTACCACAGTGAAAAAGCTCGGCACGTGGGTCATAAACACAACACTCCCTCCCATCCTGAGGGGATCCTAAAAAGAGGAGAAATCTGCCTTCAGCTTTGGATGCGAGACAGCTCGTTTTGGGGCTAAACTGTCCCATTGCCCCTCCCCAACCCAGTGTGGAAGAATGATTTACAAAGACACCATTTAGTGGAAGTTTTTCTAACCCCACCGGAAAAAGTTGACCTGTGACCGTTTCCATACTTAACGACGCAGCATCCCAATGGTCACGGGGTCAAAATTCAGACGCTTGACAACTGATTCACATTTATGACGGTCACAGTGTCCCGGGGTTCCCTTTTTGCGGTGTTCTGGCAGGCCAAGTCAAGGGGGGAAAGTCAGGTTCACTTAACAGCCTTGCTGTGGCCAGGAAAGTCATATAACGGGGCAAAACTCATCGAACTGTCTCGCTGAGCAATGGAAATTTTGGGCTCTACTGTGGTCGTAAGTCAAGGACTATCTAGAGATACTCCTGGAAAAAAAAACCCGGGGACTGGTATTTCTGCTTGTTTGTCTATCTGGACCGTCTCCTCTGGCTACGGAACCTGTTGGCCGTTCCAATGAAAATTAACCAGCTGTTGGCCGTACAACGGAGAGCATTTTATGCAGAGAGCTGGAATAAGAGACCACGATAGCTCACCCCCCCCCCTCAAGCCAGCAGAAGCAAAATGAGATCCCCCCCCCCTTTCTTTTTCATGGGACTCAAACCAGACCCACAAGAACTGAAACCTCACACACACCAAATATCTGAAAAGCAGCATCACGCGCCCAAGGGGATGATGGATTAGAATCTGCCGTTTCAGGGGCCACTTAATGTCAAGATGATAAATATTTCAGATTATTTGCTGTTTCCTTCCTTCCTTCCTTTCTCGACCATCATTGCAAAATAAAAAAATAAATAAAAGGATATCAAACCGAGTTAGCAAAAAAAAAAAAAAAAAGTCTCACGCTTGGACCCTGTGAGGAAAGACTGTTTGCACCATCCCTGGGAAATCCAGGTTTTCGTCAAGTCAAAACAATTTTTTTTTCTTCCATAAAGGGGGGGGAAAAAGTTTTCTCGTAAAGAAAGGAGACTTTTTCACTGGCTATTGTAGGAGATCTGTTTGTTCCACAGATTAATTAATTCCACAGAGGGAGGAGGGGAGGAAGGAAGGAAGGAAGGAAGGGAAGAAGGAAGGAAGGAATAGAGAAGGGAAGGAAGGAATAGGAAAGGAAGGAAAGAAGGAAGGAAGGAAGGAAGGAAGGAAGGAAGGAAGGAAGGAAGGAAGGAAGGAAGGAAGGAAGGAAGGAAGGAGGATAGGATGGGTGGGTGGGTGGATGGATGGATAAAAGGGAGAAGGATAGGATGGAAGGAAGGAAGGAGCATAGGATGGATGGAAGGAAGGATAGGAAGGAAAAAGACAGAGAAGGAAGGAAGGAAGGAAGGAAGGAAGGAAGGAAGGAAGGAAGGAAGGAAGGAAGGATGGATAAACAAACAGTCTTACTGGCTCCAGAGACAACATTAACACTATTAGATGTCTAACCAGGTTAGTTCAGAGTCTTCAGATCGAGGGAACCGTGGTCAAAACCTGGGAATTCCCTCAAATCCACCCAAGCTGGACCAGGACTTGTCGGTCCCTAAAAGACTGACCAGACCACCTCGTCTTTGGCATCGGCCACAACCCCACAGCGGGCAACACACAACCCAGGGCATCATGGCCTTTTGCGGCTACAGCTTGTGAGATGACACCAACACAATGCCCCAAGATGGTGGCGTCTCTCCGATCCCGTCAGAATGTTTTTCTCATCCTCTGTCCCAGCTAATTTTAAACCCTCTCCGGGGAACCAGCTTTCCCTGGCTTTCCCAGGAGAGGCCGGCGCGAGGAGGGCTGGATCTGCCGGACGGAGGCAACGGCCCAGCCACAGCTACTTCAGACACACGTCGATCTTGGCTTAAAGCAGGTTTCGGAGTCGGTCCCGTTTCTAGAAGTCTGCTAGAAGCTCCGAATGGCTGATCTTCCAGCTATAGAAATTGTGGTATTTTTGGGGTGCCGGTAAGGCCAAGTAGAAAGGGGTGTAACGTGAGAGATGGGAAAAACTTTCCCTCCCCACTTAAAAAGATGGCCCCCTCCACAATTTACAGTCCTCGACTTACAACCACAATGGAGCTCGGAATTTCCACTGCTAAGCGAGTTTTGCCTCATTTTACCACCTTTCTCGCCACAAGTGAATCGCAGGGGTTAAGTTAGTGACACGGTTGTTAAGTGAATCCGGCTTCCCCATGGGCTTTGCTGGTCAGCAGGTCATAAAAGGGGATCACATCACCCTGGGACATTGTGACCGTCGTAAATATGAGTCAGTTGCCGAGCGTCCGAATTTTGATCATGTGACCCTGGGGAGGTTGTGACGGTCGTAAGTGCGGAAAACGGTCATATAAGTCACTCTTTTAACGCTGTTGTAAGTTTAAAGGTTGCTAAACGAACAGTTGTAAGTCGAGGACTAGGTGTTCCTCCTACACGCAAAGTCTGCCCACTACAATGACTGCCTTGGGCAGGATGGGCATTAGAACCCCAGATGCCCCCCCATGGGGAGGGATGAGGAGCCAAAGTATGGGAACGGTAGTCCTTTCGTGGGGAAGAAGGCAAGGAGGATGGGAGTGGAACTCCTAGAGGGCTGTGAGCCACGGGGAGGCATAGGATGATGGGTATGGTAGTCGAGCCCTGTCCAGAGCCCTCAACTCAGGCTAGGCAGAGGATGATGGGCGAAGTAACCCAGCCCTCTCCAGAGCCCTCAACTCAGGGTAGGCAGAGGATGATGGGTGAAGTAACCCAGCCCTCTCCAGAGACCACAACTCAGGCAAGGAAGATGGGTGGGATAGCCCAGCCCTCTCCAAAGGCCTCAGGCTAGGCAGAGGATGATGGGTGGGGTAGTCGAACCCCCTCCAGAGGCCTGAGATATAGGCTAGGACGCGGAGCGCAGGAGGATGGGTCCCCGGGTGACGAACTCCGCCCGGGCATCCCCTTCCCCGACCGGAAGTGGCGCCCCCAGGGCAGCAGAAGCGCCCCCTCCCCTCGCGGGGCCCCGCTTACCCGGGTGGGGCCCAGCTCCATCATGACCTCCTCGAAGGCCGCCGTCTCCTCGGCCTGCCGCTGCTTCTGCAGCGCTATCTTCTCGCTGAACTTGCGCGGGTTGGACGACGCCGCCGCAGCCGCCGGGGAAGACGAGGCCGAGGAGGAGGAGGAGGAGGCGGCGGCGGAGGACGACGAGCAGGCCCCGCCGCCGCCTGAGGATGAAGAACCCGGCGCGGCGGCCCCGGAACCCCCCGCCGCCGCTGCCGCCGCCATCTTGCGCCGCCGCCGCCTCAGCGCCGCGGCCTCCTCCTCCGCCGCCGCCTCCGCACGCCCCGCCTCGCGCAGGGCACGCCGGGAAACCGAGTGCGCCGCCCGCTGAGCCCGACGGGCGGAACCCGCCGCCGGACTCCCGCTCCCGGCCTGCTTCGCGCGCCGCCGCCCAGGCGGAGGCCCCTCGCGCGCGGAGCACGACGGGAGATGGAGTCCACCCGCGATGGAGACGGCCCTGCCCTAGAGCCCGGGGGACTCCCGCTCCCGGCGGGCACCGCGCGCGGCCTCGGGGGAATTTCCCCGCGGGGAGGGGCGGGGAGGAGGCGGTCCCTTTGCAAGGCTTTCGCTGGGCTCCTAGTTGGAGGGGGGCGGGGGGGGGAGGAGAGAGAGAGAGAGAACTCTGTAGATGCCCAGAGGGAGAGGCAGCATAGTCAATTCTCTGGTAAAGGAAGGGGGGGGGAATTCACAGAGGCAGCCAAATTGGGAAGATGGGGGGGGGGAATTACAAAAGCAATGATAAAATACCATGATGGGTTAAATAGTTCACTAATTTAAAATGACATTTTTGATAAAAAAAAGTGAGGTGTAAAAGAAACAATAGTTGTCATCAGAAGATTTCTCAGTAGAAAGAAAACACAAGTTCAGTGTTCAAATACATGAATATCACAACAGGTATCTCTTGGTGAAGAGATGGTGATAAGAACAGATACATAAATGATACATAAAAACAGGCAAAAGATTAAATATTTTGTTTACCATAAGCATGACAACTACTTAACAACAGTAAATCAGGAGTAAAACTCAGTTTTACTACAAAAAATACACATCAAACAGAATGTTACCAAGTCTGAATCACATTTACAGATATTTCAGAAACAAAAAAATAAACGCGTGTGACAAGAAATCAAAATTATAGAAGTGACAGCCACATACTGTCACATACTGAGGACCCAGATTGTTGGGGGCAATGTAAATATATATCTACATTGCTTACTGGTGTACACCGCTTAGAGAGTGCTTGCACTTAAAGTTGTATATAAGTCTCATAAATACTGTGTGTCATGATTATTTACCAGTCAAAACATAACTTACACATTTTAAACAGCAGCCAAGGATAAAATTATTCCCAGGTGGAAAAATATAAACCTTTTATCAATCACTGGCCACACACTGGTCATTTAAAAGGGCGCTGAGGTTTTCTGTCTGGTTCTAAGAACCATGGCTGTGGCTAAATTTATGCCAGGCAGAAAACTATACAATCTATTATCAATCACCGGCACACCCAGCATTAAAAAGGGCCATTGAGATGTTTTCTGGTTCTAAGAACCAACATCCTGCCTAAATTAAGCCAGGCAAGAAATCTACTCAGGGTTTCAATGGCCACATCTAGAATTGAAAAAGGCCAACATTTATTTTCCAGTTCAAGGACCAAACGTCTCACCCTAGCAAAAAAATCTAGTTATTAATTTATTCAGATGGCAATACCTCATAACCAAGTTCAACACCAGATTTACTTTTGATTCTAAGAGATCTGGCTGCAACTGACATTATTTCTCAGGGTATGAAGGTGGGAGGGAAGTGATTCAAAAGGATTCCCTTCCAGTTTGAGACTCAGCTGGGGATCCTCAGGCAACGGAAGAGGCTTGTAGTTGACCGTTGTTGACTCCTGCCGTGTGATTTGCCCTCGCTGCTCACTCAGCGACGGAAAGGGTCTCCCTTCCAGGGTGAATCTCACAGAGTGTCTGCTCAGGGACTGAACGAGCCTGGGAGCCGACGGGCCACTTTCTCATTCAGGGTGAGGGTCACAGAGTGGTAACTCAGGGGCTGGAAGACCCCCATCAGGAGCAGAATGGGGTGTTTAGGCAAGGACCCTTGGCCACGCCTCCTTCACCCCCTGCCACTCGCCTCAGCCCATTCACAGGCAACTTTCCTCCTCTGCTGCCCACCACCACCAATGGGCCCTTGGCCCTCTGCCCTTTGGCCCGCCAATTCACCTGATACTCTTTGTCCCGGGACTTTGGGTGCACGGGATGAGTAGCCCCAGCCAATCGGGTGGCAGGCAGGAGCCACAGTGCTGCTGGGGCAGCGTGCGATGGGGGAGCGCAGGGCCTGTGGGCTGTGGCTGCTCCACATGCTTGGCCCTTACAGCTCTGTCCCCAGGACCGGAGGGAGGGGGAGTGGTGGCAGCAGTCAAAGCTGATGGGGCCATTGGGCAGGCAGTCAGGCGAGGGTGTGTATGGGGGGACCAGAGAAGGAGGGAGGGGCACCTCAAGGGGGCTTCACAAAGACAGCTTGGCTCACAACTCAAATGAAACAGGGGAGGAGGAGCAAGGCCGGTGTGGGGGGGGAGAGAGAGGCTGGGGGGGTGCACAGGTGAACACCAAGGCCAGTGTGGCTTTTGCCTTCCTTTCCCTCCCAAGGCGCAAGCACTCCCGTCAGCCCCCCAGCCCTTGCCAGTTGCCCACCCTTCCCTCCCAAGGCACAAGCAGTCGCATCAGCCCCCCAGCCCTTGCCATTTGCCCTCCCCTCCCTCCCAAGGCGCAAGCAGTCGCATCAGCCCCCCAGCCCTTGCCATTTGCCCTCCCCTCCCTCCCAAGGCGCAAGCAGTCGCATCAGCCCCCCAGCCCTTGCCATTTGCCCGCCCCTCCCTCCCAAGGTGCAAGCAGTCGCATCAGCCCCCCAGCCCTTGCCATTTGCCCACCCTTCCCTCCCAAGGCGCAAGCAGTCGCATCAGCCCCACAGCCCTTGCCATTTGCCCTCCCCTCCCTCCCAAGGCGCAAGCAGTCGCATCAACCCTTGCCATTTGCCCGCCCTTCCCTCCCAAGGCGCAAGCAGTCGCATCAGCCCCCCAGCCCTTGCCCTTTGCCCTCCCTTCCCTCCCAAGGCGCAAGCAGTCGCATCAACCCCCAGCCCTTGCCCTTTGCCCTCCCCTCCCTCCCAAGGCGCAAGCAGTCGCATCAGCCCCCCCAGCCCTTGCCATGCCCGCCCTCCCCTCCCAAGGCGCAAGAAGTCGCATCAACCCCCCAGCCCTTGCCAGTTGCCCGCCCTCCCCTCCCAAGGCGCAAGCAGTCGCATCAGCCCCCCAGCCCTTGCCAGTTGCCCGCCCTCCCCTCCCAAGGCGCAAGCAGTCGCATCAGCCCCCCAGCCCTTGCCATTTGCCCGCCCTCCCCTCCCAAGGCGCAAAAAGTCGCATCAGCCCCCCAGCCCCCAGTTGCCCTCCCTTCCCTCCCGGCGCAGTCACATCAGCCCCCCAGCCCTTGCCATTTGCCCGACCTCCCCTCCCAAGGCGCAAGCAGTCGCATCAGCCCCCCAGCCCTTGCCAGTTGCCCTCCCTTCCATCCCCTCCTCCCATAGGCGCAAACAGTCGCATCAGCCCCTAAGCCCATGCCAGTGCCCTCCCCTCCTCCCAAGGCGCAAGCAGTCGCATCAACCCTTGCAATTTGCCCGCTTCCCTCCAAGGCGCAAGCAGTCGCATCAGCCCCTCAGCCCTTGCCAGTTGCCCGCCCTTCCCTCCCAAGGCACAAGCAGTCGTATCAGCCCCTCAGCCCTGGCCAGTTGCCCTCCCTTCCCTCCCAAGGCGCAAGCAGTCGCATCAGCCCCCCAGCCCTTGCCAGTTGCCCGCCCTTCCCTCCCAAGGCGCAAGCAGTCGCATCAGCCCCCCAGCCCTTGCCAGTTGCCCGCCCTTCCCTCCCAAGGCGCAAGCAGTCGCATCAGCCCCCCAGCCCTTGCCCTTTGCCCTCCCTTCCCTCCCAAGGCGCAAGCAGTCGCATCAGCCCCCCAGCCCTTGCCAGTTGCCCGCCCTTCCCTCCCAAGGCGCAAGCAGTCGCATCAGCCCCCCAGCCCTTGCCAGTTGCCCTCCCTCTCCTCCCAAGGCGCAAGAAGTCGCATCAACCCCCCAGCCCTTGCCAGTTGCCCGCCCTCCCCTCCCAAGGCGCAAGCAGTCGCATCAGCCGCCCAGCCCTTGCCAGTTGCCCGCCCTCCCTCCCAAGGCGCAAGCAGTCGCATCAGCCCCCCAGCCCTTGCCATTTGCCCGCCCTCCCTCCCAAGGCGCAAGCAGTCGCATCAGCCCCCCAGCCCTTGCCATTTGCCCGCCCTTCCCTCCCAAGGCGCAAGCAGTCGCATCAGCCCCCCAGCCCTTGCCAGTTGCCCGCCCTTCCCTCCCAAGGCGCAAGCAGTCGCATCAGCCCCCCAGCCCTTGCCAGTTGCCCTCCCTTCCCTCCCAAGGCGCAAGCAGTCGCATCAGCCCCCCAGCCCTTGCCATTTGCCCGCCCTTCCCTCCCAAGGCGCAAGCAGTCGCATCAGCCCCCCAGCCCTTGCCAGTTGCCCGCTCTTCCCTCCCAAGGCGCAAGCATTCCCAGCAGCCACACTGCCCTTGATGTTTGCCTGTGCGCCCCCCCCCCCCGCCAGCCCTCCCCTTGGTAGGCATAAACTGCTCTGGTCTTGCTACTCCTCTTTTGAGTTGCGGGTTAAGCTGTCTTTGTGAAGACCCCTTGAGATGCCCCTCCCTCCATCGTCCCAGGGAGACCTCCAGAGAGACACAAAATTCAGTGTGAGTGTCACACAGGAGAAGCTGAGGGATTGAAAGGTCTCTACAAATAAGTCATCACTATTATTTACACGATGGGTTGGCATGTGGGATGCTTCTGTGGCCCCTCCCATGTGGTAAGAACTACAGAATGGTATAAAATCTATCATCTAAAGGTGATTGACTTGGTGAAGGGACATTCTTGATGGAGATCATATTCATTCTTGATGCAGATCATATTCCTTCTTGCGTTCAATTCCTTCTTCCATCAACGCCACAAGCTGACAGCTGAGTATTCTGTCTTCTAAGGTGGTGTAGCGTGCACGCCTTTGAGATTAAAAAACAAATCAAAGTTACATCAGCTGCCACTAGAGTTTTACTATTAAAAATGCACAATACACCATAGTTACTATTACCTCAGATGCAGGTATTACCCTTACTTACCTAGGCATAAGGGACCATTAGTGGGAGACCATCCAGTCCCTCCATATCCCAAAACTTTGAAGA